CCAGTTTCCAGAATCAGTTTATTTTAAAAATGTGCTGCTTTGGCATCGATACAGCCGCCTCTCTCAATGTGTATCCACCAGGCAAATATAGTCCTGCCCACGGTGCCCTCTGATTGGTTGCATGTCACGACTATTAGCCTGTCGGTGCTGAAGGATAAAGGTTGAGAAGTTCTCTGTTAATTAAACAAATGGAAAGAAACTCAAGTATTTTAAGAAAGTTTTGTGTTGTGTTGTTTGAGCGCTTGTAAAGAATGATGCCCCCCTCATCTTTTTCTGCAAGTATTGGTTCCAAATATCGGTTATCAGTCTCCCTGAGTATTAGTAGTTGCCTTAGTTAAATTGTGGGTTCTATAAACCAAAACAAAAGCTGATGGACACTAAAAAACACTCTGTTCAGCTGAGGGGAACTGCAGGATCTGTACTGCTGGAACACTGAGGTCTACTCAACTTACTAGTGACCTTTCAGTTAGTAGTGGACAGCTTCAGAAACCAGGATTAATGTGAAATGTGTGTTTTCTTTTTATCCACCACATTTCCGTCTTTTTATTGTACGCTCATTCAGCAGATATTTTATCGCCACCATCAGTGACTTAATTAGAACTGTATGGCCATCACTTGATCCCCATCTGTCTGTTCAGACCTTGCTCCATGTAATCTTGGCAGAGGTCTTCAAAATTGCTTTCAAGTCACCCAGAACAAGGCGGAGGGGATGACTCCTCCTCGAGCTGCCGGGGCCTTGAAGTTCCTAATGATGACATCGAATGTGCAGAGCGACTCGTGCGCTCCCTTTGTGCCCCCTGATCTGCAGGCAGAGAGGGCAGCGGTGAGCTCATGCCGGGAGGAAGTCGCTTTGCCATTGAAAGTGAGAGAGGCAGAAAGAGCAACATCTGGCTAAGCCGAGGAAACGAGGCAGGATGCTCGCAGGTCAGGTGTCACCGTGAGCGATGGAAAACCCCAGTCATGATTTAGAATGGAAGGTGTAACTTTGTTTGCCACCTAATGTCTGTCCTTACCTCTTTGACACCGGCACCTCTTGCTTCCCCGTGTCACATCCTCTCCCCACCCTGGAGATCCAGCATCTGGGTCAGCAGCTGTCGTCTATAGGTGCTGCCTGTTGTCTCTCGAAAAGATGACGTGAGACACCATTATCAAATGTTTGTCTCCCTGTTCCCCTTCTCATTTAGTGTCCTGTTCCCTTTGGCAGCAGGAATGTGGATTGCGCTCAGTGAATAAAGAGACATGCAGCGGCTTGTGCCGCATCCAGCGCAGCTGCGACGGGGGTGTGTGTGTGTGCGTGCTTTTGTGTTTGCACGTGTGCGCACACAAATGCATTTTTTTGTGTGTGTTTATTCCCCCTATTATTGTTGTGTGTCTGTGGGTTGACAGAGCTGATTCAGTGTGTAAATACATGATGTGTGGTTTAAAACCACATGTAATGAATGCACGGTTTATACCCTCATTTGGGGTTTGATTACAGCGTCGATTACCTTCCAGAGACACAGGTGTGTTTTGTAGAACTCTTCTTCTGATCTATCCGGCATGGTTCCTCTTTGTCTTGCTCTGCTGACTGTCTGTCAGGGCAGATCAGTGGTATCCAGATGTTTTTTTGCAGTACTGAATCCCAGCAGCATTCCCCAATCAATCCTAGAGCCCTCAGAGCCCAGGTAGGTCCGTAGGCCGGCCTGTCTGTCTGTCTGTCTGCCTGTCTGTCTGTCTGTCTGTCTGCCTGTCTGCCTGTCTGTCTGTCTGTCTGTCTGTCTGTCTGTCTGAGAGGCACGCGCCTCCCTCAGGTCACTCACATGAGCTCAGCTTCCAGGTCGCGCAGCACAGGCTCGGTAATTGACCCAAATGAAATGCTCACCAGGAAAAAAAAACGTGCCCCTCGCAACCCTGGTCGAGCTTTGTTCGTCGACCCTAGTTTTAATACTTCCTCCAATCCAGCGCAACACTCAGGATGTTGCTCCCTGGTTGGCCACAGTCAGACAAAACACGGAGTTCATAATCTAGTCAAGCAGACACAATAGACGATGGAAAGGTTTTGTAGTCGAGATGGAAAAGATCTAATGTTTTAATCACACGCTTTCCTGAGACCGGCGTCACACAGACTCGCAAACTGGAACCTTTGAGCTTTATTCCCTGTGGCCGCCTGAAGCTTAACTTTTTTTTGTAAATCGGTGGTGAATAATCTGCTCACACAATCTTTCATTAGTTAGCGAGGGCCGTGGCTGTCTGACCTACAGCAGATGTTAGCTTAGAAACCCTGCGCGCTTAAACAATGATATGGTGCTATTAATTTAATTAAAACAAAATTATTTCCAAATCATTTTTGTCTCATCTATAAAATCAATTAGGCAGAGCTATGACCTAGACAGCGTCTCTCTGGAATATTATTTTCTGTTGCACACTCTGACCACGCTTAAGTGGATTTCATGGTGATGCACGTTCATTGCTGATGGGTGTATCTTTGTGAGTGTATATATATGTGTGGGACATGAGGTCATATGTTTATGGTCTTGTGATGATGTGATTGGCAGGACCCAAGTGAGACGGGGACCCCCTGACTCCTCCCCTCAGCAGACCGGGACCTCCCGCACTGTGAAACGTTATCCATCATCCTCCGGGCCTATCACCTCCAACGCTCTACCCAGTGGCAGCGGCTACGCTAACGGCCACGGCGGCGAGCACAGGAACTGGTACGGACACAGGAACGGGCACGGCAACGGGCACGGCAACGCACACTCCCACAACAGTCACAGGCCTTCCAGCGACGGCCAGCTGCACGGACAGTTCAACAATGCATTATTACCAGCAGGTAGGAACCGAAATTTGTTTTCCGCATGCTGTGAAATGAGCATAATAAAACTTGGATCTGTTCTCGTTTTACATCCGCGCTTAATGTTTCCACTCCCTCTAGCCACCTCAAAACAAACACAACCAATTCTGGTGCAGTTCACAGTGTCCACGGTACACGCATACACATCCTGTGGTGTCATTGTTAAATAGAACATTAGCCACAAGAGGAAAAAAAACTGGCAGCATCCCAGGCCTTATTCTCCTTCTCCCACCGTCCACCCACCTCACCCCCTCTGTGGTCACACACACACAGACGTTTCATATCAAAGCTGCCTTCATTGTGTGTGTGTGTGTGTGTGTTTGCGCAGTTACACGCTTTGATATCTTTAGGAATCTACACCGTCACCTCTCTGACATGACAGCCACTGAACCCTGGCGCCTTCGCCCGCAACAAACAGAAACGTGAACTTGTCTGTCCCAATTGTATTCTCCTTTCACTACTTCATTTTTTCTCCGATGCATCATCCAATACACGCAGCTGTCTGATGTTGTAGCTTCTTTTGTTTTTTAGCCCTGTACCAGGGCAACGGATGTTGAATGGCTTCCCAACATTACTCAATGTTCACTTGCACTTACGCTCACTTTGTCTGCTTCACACATACACACATCCAAAAACACCTTCTCCCAAAGATAAAGGGCTTGGAGGCCGGCCCGATACCTAATAGTATACTCTTCCCCGTGCGCTGCCCTGTGGCACATCGCTCGTTGTGCTGCGGCGTGCCAGTGGCCAGCCGTCAGCACACACCCTCGCACACTTATAAACCTCCCTTTTTCCCAGATGGGAGTGTGTCACAGTGAGGCTGAAGGAGGAAGGATGCAGCTCGTCTCCGGCCTGCCTCTGCTGCTGCTCCTTCTCAACCGGCTGTGTGTGTGTCTTCCAGGGGCCAACCTCACCTCCAGCCTGGACCGCATCAAGATCGTCTTCACACCTATGCTGTGCCGCAGGGTGTGCAATGGCGGGCGCTGCTACAACAGCTGCGAGAAGGGCGACATCACCACGGTCTACAGCGAGAACTCGCAGCAGCACCAGCAGCAGCAGCAGCAGCAGCCAAAGAACCAGGGCTTCCGACTCTGTGAGTGTCGACCCCCAGGCCCTCTGATTATCGTTGCCTTTCTCTCCGTTCTGTCTTCAGATTCTCCGTGCTGCCTTCTCAGTCTCTCCTTTGCTTACTTTCTGATTCTCACACACGTTCCCTGTGTCTCCATTCTAGTGTCTCCTTTCTTTTTATGGGGTGAGCTTGACAAAATGGGTTCCCAGTGGCACGCCGTCTCCTCTGAATGCCAGGCGCAGAAAGGAGGCAGAGTGGTGTAGATTAAAGCTGAGAGCTGTGCTAAAAACTCTCACTGTCAAAGAGAAAGAGGGGAAAGCAGGAGCGATGGAGGCAGAGCAGATTAAAAGCGGTCTCCGTAAAAGGGGGCTAATCTCTCCTCGCACACATGCACGTGGAGCCGGTGGTCCCACGCTCCCAACACTTAGCCCCCATCTCTTTGCGGTTTACACCTCGCGGTTGGCCCCGCCGTTAACCATTTAACATGCTCCCTGGGAGAGCGGGAACGAATGAAAGAGGAGAGGGAGAGGCAGAAAGAGAGAAAGAGTAGCAGCATGAACAGGATTTTATAGGGATTACATTAAACCTGCCATTTATCCGGGGGGCTTTGCTTCAAATTCACACAGGAGTGTCCATGGGAAGGGAGGGGGCGGTCAATGCCAAGGGGAGGGTCGCACCCCCCCATGTTTCTTAGTTTTCTCATCAGGTTTAAGGGTCCAGCTAATTAATACTTGTCGATTAGAGGATGAAGGATGCGCATACCACACACATGCATGTATATACATGTATGTATAAATCCTCTTCAGTCACAGCTCGGATTAAAAATCAAACAGGCTCGCAAACATGCAACCAATCTAAACGGACTAAAGCTGTTTGAGGAGGACCGAGCTGACTTATGAATATATACACAGGTTGATGTTCCAGATTTATGTGCCCATTAATGGGGTTTTGGAACGTGGTGCAGATATTCCAAACACTTCAGCGTCCTGGCAGAGGCCTTCCACGAGATTACATTCCTGGCACCTCCACCTCTTCCTCGGCGGTTTGTTTTTATGCCCCACTTTTATTCCGGAGAAATCGTCCTTCATTATGTAAAAGCATGTGTTAAAGAGCACGTTAAAAAGAGATTGCTCTCCGTTTAGGCTCGCATCCTGTTATTGCTCGGGCGTGCGTGTTCGTCAAGGAATGTCAAGTGGACGGCAAACAGCTATCTCACGGCGTTGTTATGTTGCCCACTCGGTGCCGTAAAATCTGGCAGGATAATTATAATAGGCTCTCTTGATGCACTCCACTGTGTGCAACGCTTAATTTAAAGCCTGATATTAGATTGGGCAGAAGACTGTTTATTGAGTGAGAAGTGTGTGCGTGTTGGGTTGTTAGAGGCTGTTAAACAGGCAGACAGATAGGCAGACAGGCAGCACGGTGTGCAGAGTCGACAGTAGGATGTTGTCTAAGAATAGTTCCTGCCCCATGCTGAGTTGGGACTGGCCTGACACAGACCAGTGCAGACATGCATCCCACATTGAGAAGTTTTAATAGCCTCCTTGAGTTGATAATTTAGCCAGCATGTCAAATCACAGGAGGCCTTCCTGTGTGTCTGGACACCAACGCCGGACCTCTTTAGTCTCCCCGTCTGCCTCTCCACATGTTTTCCTCGGAGTTGCTTTCTCCCTGTTTCTCTCAATTCCTGTCTCTTTTTCTGTTTTCAATCTATTCTGTTAACATTCTCCTCCTTCTAATCCCTTTCATTCCCTATCTGTTACTCTTCTTATTCCATCCCTCCCGCTCTACCTCCTCCAGCCTCTCTGTTGCTAATGCTATGTGACAGGGAGCTCATTCCCTACATGCCATCGAGACTGTCCAACATCTCCCTGTTCCCTGTTTGCACCCAGTTAGTGTGTTACTGTCTGTCTCAATGAGGCAGAGAGGATGCAGCTCGCAGCTTGTTTCCATGACCGGCATCTCCTTTCATCTCGTAGTACGCGAGCCATTCGTATCTCCAACTGTCTTGTAAAACAATCCCTTATATTTTGCGGTGTGATGTGCTGCTGGGCTGGAAAAGTGCGATGCTTTTTCATCCTTTTGTGCCCCAGAATAGTTCTTAATTCGTCACGGTGAGTGAGATTTTTTTCATTTGATCGTCTTTGATGTTTTGAGTTAAGAGAGGTCGGGTCAGGAGTGAGTCTGGAGATGGGAGCAGCTCCAGGTATGTAGGGTGCAGGGCTGGCACCCATCCCTTATGCCAAAAGATAAAGCCAACGACCGGGCTGTGCATGCAGTACTGTCAAACACCATCTGGTCACTGCTGGACTTTCCTCTTTTTCTCTCCATGGTAAATTGCAAACTATAAATCAAATTGTAGACAAAGCACGCTTTGGGATCCAATTCACTCGGCCGGCCAAGAGCCAGTTGATCTGCTTTGAAATTTTGTACAAGATTTGATAGTTTGGGAAGTTCACATTTTTTCATCCTTCTACCAGCCAAGCAAGTGTTCCGTACAGATATCCATGCACTTGTTATTTTCTCCAAATTATTACGGGATGAATCATCACTCATCACTTCGCGCAGGAGTATGTAATTACCGATGTGAGGCAAAGCACGCCAGTGGAGGCGGTGCAGCATGAGGGGCAATGCCACGACGCTGCCCTCAGGACTAAGTTAAAAATTTATATAAACGTCACATGGAGTGAGAAGTCTGGTAGAGCCAGAGGGGAGAACAGCATGACCATTCCCGTCCGCAGGAACCCTCAGCACATGCCCTTCCTATTAGGACTACCCCTTCTGTTTCTGATTACCAGATCCTTGTGTGTGAGGATGCATGATGCTGTGCAATTAAATGCGGTGTGCTGTGTGTGCTAAGGAATCTCTCACTCGTAACTCTTCGTCTCTTTACCTCTGACACACCCACCCCCTCCTTCTCTGTCTCCTTCTTCCTCGCTGCAGTCTTCTGTCAGATCCCCTGCCTTAACGGGGGCCGGTGCATCGGCAGGGACCAGTGCTGGTGTCCGTCAAACTCGACGGGGAAGTTTTGCCACCTGCCAGCTCCGCCTCCTGCCAGACCCACCCCTCACAGCCACAAGGATGCCGGACACCAGGGACCGAAGTCTCCATCTCACTCTATGTACACTCTGCCGCTATCCAATCAGCAAGGTGATCACTCACATGGGGACCAATGGAAGGGCAGAGCTCCAGCTGACTTCTTGTCAGTTGCAGTTGCTTCTCATTTAAGCAACGTCGTGAACCTTGAAGAACATCTACGCCTATAACCTCGAACCCCTAACATAGTTGCTGTAGTCGGTTTATTGGGGGTTCTTGTTGACTCCACGTTGCTTCTCACAACTTCTTATTTAGAGACATTTATATTCTAACAGAAGGGAGTCAAAAACAGACCCTTTAATAAGTGCAGCACCCAATAAAAAGGCACAATAAGTTGGTTCATTGTAAATTCTCTGGCTCTTCTTCTCTGTCAAGACGGTGTGCAACTTCTTAAAACACTTACTCCTCGATTTAGCCACAAAAATTGTACTTTTTAAAAAATGCACACAAGTCTGGGCCTTGATTTCCAGCTTTGTTTACAGTGTAGCGCTCTGCTTTAGTGGGCCAGCAGCAGTGGAGGTCAGACTCTATTTTGAGCAGAATAACTAATGGATGACTCAGTGGAAATCCTTCTATTGTTCACACAATGCCGCTTTTACCAAAACAGAAGTGAATATTAGAAACAGAGCAGGGCAACGTCATGAATTTATATAAATACAAATTGCTCACTTTTTGCCCCTGGTATCTGTTTTTTTTTTGTTTTTTTTTTTTAATTTCCTCCTTGAGTCTCGCTCCGTATCTCACTCTGTCGAACAGTAAGTAGAAGCAGAAGGTCTGTCTAAGTTCATTTAAATTACCCTCAAAAGTATTCCATCATCTGCGTAAATTACATAAACAAACCTGTTCAGTGAAATGCCCCCAACATCAGTTTGTAATGTTGCAGTAAAGAAGCTCTCTTTGCTGTCTGTATGCCTTACATATATATGGACGGTGGCACTTTCATGTCTGTGACTCTTGATAGAGTCTGCATCTCCTCTGTGGATGCTGGTGTCTGTCTGTGAGACTGTGATTCATGAGAGTGGGTCAGGATTCTGGGAAAAAGCCCTGGCACTCCCTGAAGATGGATGCTTCCCCTCTGTCAACAGGACAAAAGAGCTCATTCTCCACGTTGCAACATCTTCTCAGCTCTTTAGCAAATCTGTTTTTACTCTTCAAAATGGTTTGATTTAAACCAGAAAATCCAAAAAGTCATTGTGTTGTTGTTTTGTAGTATTTTAATAGCGTCTGGTCTGCTGGGAATTCCCAATGTACTCTAGGTCTCATAACTTGGTGATGAAGCAAGTGTTTGGTGAGCAAGTTTGTGTAAGACGTTAGCTGATAGCTCAGAAACTGCAGTATGTATACAGCTTTTATCCCTTGGCTGAGGATGCTTTCACTTACATGATTCCAAAAATGAATCTGTAAACTATCCACGGCTTTGTATAAACTCTGGATCTCTCCTTCTCCAGCGTCCCTCCACCCATCCTTGGTGAACGTCCACATCCAGCACCCTCCAGAGGCCGAGGTCCAGATCCACCAAGTGGCTCGAGTCCAGCCTGGGCAGAGAGCAGCCACCACTGAGGGGGCTCACTCTGTTCAGCAGCGCTCGCAGCCTGGGAATGGACACGAACACACCAGCGACCACAGACACCCTCACACCAATGGAAACGGCCACGGTCATGGTCACGGCCACGGCCACACAACAACCCACATCCGTCAGAACGGACACGTTGGAAGATGCTTTCAGGAGACAGTCGACGGACAGGTATCGTGTTAAGCCATTAAAACACACCGTGTACCCTCTCAGCACCAGGCGATCTAAACCAGCTGCAGCATTACAGTGTTCACATCCTTTCACCTCCTCGAAAAGATGCTGTCTCAAACAGGAAGTGAGAATGTGCGAATGATCTATGTAAAAAACAGGATTTATGAGCTCTGGCCACACTGGTCATCTCATGTTCCACCAATTCCCCAACAGAGGTGTGATATGAATTAGGATGCGTTCAAAGGACAAAGGTTAAGGTTGAAGTTCTGCCCATGTGGTCTCCTTTGTGGCTCAAATAGGGAGATGTTTCATGCTGTAGGTGTACACAGTACGGCTCCTACTGCACATTTACTTTACGTTGCATGACCAGGTCAAAGTCACGACAGTTATGTATCGAAGAGAAATTAGAAAAGAAAAGGACCTCGTCGCAGTGCGTGAGTTTGGCTAATCTGAGGCCCAGCATAACATCTGTTTGCTTGGCTGTCATTGAGTTTTAACCTTTAGCTGGAACAGCACAGCCATCAACAGCAAAGGTTTTTTTGCCAACATTAATTCTTGAACACTGCAGTTCCCATTTTCCCTTCTCCGGTTTAATAGGGAGCTTGAAGTTAAACCTTCAAGTCACAATGACTAAGGAGAACTTTAGCACAAAACGAGCACGAAACAGCTTTAGGGTGCAGTGCTCCCTCCTCTCCTGCCAGAATGTCCGTGTTCTCCACAACTCTTAGGTTTCATCTCTATTGGCTCAAAATCCAATAAGTACGGTGTGATAGGAATCTCCCATCACAATTAACAAAGCGCCTTAATAAGGCACGCTAGGAGGTTCCTAGTTGTTTCTCTGGACTCTGTGTTTCTGTCCTCCTCCAACTAAATGGTCTCAGATGTGTCTGGTTCACTCTGTCCTTGCAGATAGGCATACACAAACACTCTGACACGAACACGCTTACGCCCCTGCCAACGCAAAGACACTTGCACATAAACAAGCATGCATGCACAAACATGTAACACTCATTCTCAAAACTTGTTTTGTAGATTTAACACAGATGTGTGTTGTTGTAGTGTGGCAAGCCTCTGCCAGGCCTGACCAAACAGGATGATTGCTGTGGAAGTGTTGGCGCCTCCTGGGGACTGAACAAATGCCAAAAGTGTCCAACCAAACCAGGTAAGCCCCCCTGACTAAAGGCATCAGATGTAGGGAATTTTTTGTTCCATTGCACAATTAAATCTAATCTATTTCTAATCTGTTCTTATTCTGCTGGTATAATTTTCTGTTATGCTATTCATGCTGATCTCCTGGTATTCTGTTCAAAACAGCACGATGCAGCTGCGCGCTTATTGAATTTCCAGGAAGAGCTTCCCACTCCGAACGCTGTATATTAGGGTGTTTACAAGTTGTTCTTTTTATATTCCTTAGCAGCCATTGTTTATGCCTGGTGGATTTTTATCATTCATCACGCGCCTAAACAACACAGATGACTGATGATGATTAGCATCTACCAGTGTTCATTAGTTGTCTAAAGTCCTCTGAGGCAGCTGCGTGACTCGCCCGTGCGCCCACTTGTAAAAACCCAAGCCATTTTCACTTCCATAAAACCAAACCTGGGAAGCAAATGAAAACACATTTAGCATGAAGATGAGAGCCTGGCAGGCGTGCCACCCACCCTGCGGGCCCAATGAGCCAACGTGGTTTCAGAAGTGTGAGGAAATGAACAGCCTTGCTCTTCAACCAGAGCTGCGGTAGGTTTGAGAAACAGCAGCAGCAGGGTGGGTGGTGACACCGTCCGCCGTGGATGGAGACTCTCACTTTGCCTGACAGCCCTGAGTGTTACTTGGAGGGCATAATTTTGTCTCCTGTGCCGGTGGAGGCCTCATAGGAAGCAGCTGCGTTACGGTGGCACATGAGGGACTCAGTTATTTCCCAACACTCTTAATCATATTACGTCCGTGCCCATACATGCCAGTTGGCTGTCAGATTGTCTATACGCTGTTTAATGTCTGTCCGGACCTTAATCAGAAGCAGACATCATCCCTCTCCGTCTCAATAATAGATGTCGATCCGCTTTTTTTTTTCTCCCCTCCCACTCTCTATCTCCCCCGGCATGCCAGATTCGCGCTCTTCCAAAGTCCCCGGCATGATCTCTTTTGGCTCCCAGATGTTTTCCTCTGCTCCCTCCTTTGAAGTTTTTTGGGGGAGAAACGGAGTGAATGCTCTTTTTTTTTTTTTGTGGGTGTTTTGGGGAGCAGCGTACTTCAGGCCAGGGTCACACGCAGGCAGAGAAGAAAGGATTCAGAGAATGAAAGAGAGGAAAAAATTAAGTCAAAATGAAGTCATGTACTCTGTCCCAGAAGTCTTGGAGGGAAGTTTAATAAGAGAAATACTTTGAATTCCTCCAGAGTGTTGCTGTTCTCAGTTTAGACACTTGGCCTCATCTTTAAGCCGCATTCCCCCCTTCTTTCTGGCCTAGGTGTGTGTGCGCTCTCTTACGGGTTTGACAGGAATGATATGCAGCCCGGAGACAACAGCCCCTGAAAAAAATAATATTGCTCTTTTTTATTTCACAGTGAATGAGTCAGTTGTCGGCTTACGGCGTGGAATGGGAGGTCATATAGCTTTATAAGAGTCTCCTGTGTCTCTTGTTGAGTATGTGATAATGATGTCATGAAAAGCCAGTTTGTATTTAGGCGTGCGAGGCTACCATTGGTCAGTTTATAGCTGCTTGCAAAAGACACTTGTGACTGAGAACAAGGCTTGCTACTTCATTTTTGTTTTTTATTATAGTCATAGAGGAGGCCAGTATGACCACAATTTAATAGACTTCTTTTACAGACAGGATTTTTTAGTCTTTGCTTCCTGCCTCCCCATCGCTGTCAGCGTATATTTATATCTGCATCAGCCTCACACGATACAGTGATATAGATCCATGATATATTGCTCCTGCCTGGCTGCGTCTAAAATCTGTAAATGTATATACATTTCAGCACACACATGATGATGTTATATGGCTAGATGTTATTTATTATTATACACCAGGGGGTTTGTGTCACGTTATGTCATGGCAATAAGGAGGGAGGACATGCGTGTGTGTGTGTGTGTGTGCGTGAAGGAGGGCTGACGTTATGGAAGCACGAATGCCAGTACGTCCCATCTCAGTGGGAGCCGAAGCCTTTAGGAGCCACTGCCTTTAAAAGTCGCATGCTGAGGATTCCTGGCCAGTAATGAGATCCAGATCAACCAGAACAGGCTGCAGTCAACTGCATCCCTCTGGTTCTGATGAGTAGGTGGAGTAACAGGCGCTTTGGCTTGGATTTCAAGGCAGTTAATTCCATCCTTGCAAGTTATGAAATTATCGTGGAGGTGATCAAAAGTGTTTACAAGCATGAGAACTAATCAGTGAGTCATGTGAGAATGAGGATAGGTGAGCGGGGCAAGGGGGATGATGTGGTTATACAAGTCTTATTTGAAGCATACTGAAGAAACCGAACCCACGATGACGCTACGAGGAATTTTTATCATTGAGAAGCAAGGAGTCGGGATTGTGTCGCTTGTGCAACTCTGAGGTGAAAATCAAGTTTTCTTTTACTTGTTAACGTGCCCGTATGGTGTTTTTAATATGCTGGAAGACACATCATGAGGCAAAGTCAACGCCATGGCCGAGCACTTCCTCAAAACTACAGCGTACCGGTGACTGAGGTTTCTAACATCACAAACCTAAAGAAACAGTCGTGCCAACTCGAAGGGTGGGGATTTCCATATTCTTTGCCGTTGTGTAACATAGAGTAGTTTTACCGTGGCTTGAACATAATCCAAGGTGAGCTGGTGTGCTCAAGCTGCAGCAAGTAGCGTGGGCTGCGTGGAGAGAGAAGCAGGAATTTGATGATAGATCCACACATTCTAGAGGAAGCAACAGTGTGTAGTTACATCTAAGACATTTTAAGGCAGGAAGGGATTATTTTCATGGGAAAAAAACATCTAAATATGAAACTCTGATACACAGAGAGAAGTTTTTGGGGAACTTTATGGATATCGTTCCATCAGTAAAGTAATCGGTGGTTCACAAAGCCAACCGAATGACTGTGGCCCCGGTCTGACCCATACTGTAGTGTTGGCATGACTCTCTGTAACTGTGCTGGCAGCCCCTCCCTCGCTGTGTGCTTCACAGCTAATGGAATTTCACAAGCCATTTGTCTCCCCATCTGTCATTGATGGGCAGCTTCCCTCTCCGTGACTCTCCCCGTCAGCGATGCTGGGAGGCTTCCCAGGGAGCCAGATCACGTCCCCAGGGCCCAAAGTAACCACCACACCCACAGGAGCCTTGGCTTCCTCCAGCTCTACCTCCCTGGGTCATCGGGGTCATGCTTCACTCCCGTCTCCTCGCTGTGACGCTGAGGATGATATTCTCTGCGAGGGTTAGATCAGTAAAGTCAGACGAGGCAAAGGAGGGGGCTCGAAGAACCCCACGGTTTCCAGATCTTCCCACATGAACTCATCCCTCCGAAAGCTTCCCTCTATTCCCAAGACGTTTAATCTGACATCCACTGAGGGGCCGGAGCCTGTGCATCTTGCTTTTTATTAGCACTGATCAAACGTGAACACTTGTTAATGACCAACACAAACCAGAGATGCAGTGACTTTGCTGCAGAAACAGAACAGATGCACTGGAACAGCTCCACAGCAGCTTCTCATGGTGATTAGATAGAGACATCACATCCCTTTGACAGCATTTGATTCATCGATGTTGACTTAGCGTTATCCGCTCACAAGTAGAACGATGGAATCTATTAGCTGGCCAGTCGTGTGGCTAATCAGGGCTGAGACGACCTAACCGCCACGAGAAATAAATCCCAGTTGGAGGCAGATGGATATGAAATTCGCGATGCATTTCTTAATTGGATACAAGCTAAGTTGAGCATATTTTTATTGGGAATGTACCGTGGCATGCCTTCCTTTGGATCAAGCCCAGGTGGTTAATATTCCACAGGGAATTGGAGATTATAGAGGAATGTGGGTCTGTTTTAAATGTGTTTGATGCGGGCTGCTTTGCCATCAGCATCTTGGAGAAGGGCGTTAGGCAAAAATTGTCAAACTACAAACAGAGATATAAAATGCATACTTTCGTGAATAGAAACAATGAAAAGTATGTTTTGCGTAAAGCTTTAATGTAGCAGAAAAGTGAAATAAGCTCTTCATCAAAGTCTTTTGTTGTTGCTGCTTCACATGCGCTGCGGGTTGGTTGTGTTAAAGCAACATGATACAGATACACAACTAAGACTGTTAACGATTGAGCAAATACAGTATCTTGTAGTTTTTACTTTGGTTTTGTGTTTATGTGAGTACCAGCAGGAGGATGTTGACATTAGTTCCATGTGTCCTAACTGATTAGCCTTAGCTTCACTAGCAAGGACACGTTATTTACAGGGCATGTGATATGGACCGTGCCAGATTGGCGAATGTGGCAAGTGCCAAGGAGACATTCTGCTTTGAAAGAAAATGACTTCCCTTTAAGCCGTTTGCTCCAATCAAGCATTGGCTCTAAGGCCAAGAAGAGATGGCTTAGCCATCATAGAGACTCCAAAGACCTGAAACCCTCCATGGTGATTAAAGGGCTCTCTGTGCTCCTGGTTTGCTCTCGGTGGCACCAGTTTGTCCTGTGGCGGCATGTCAGAAAGCAAATTGCTGGATGGGATCCTGAGTGGGTCTTGGCTTTGATGTTGGTTGTTTTCCTATAGAGTGGCCCCCAATGGAACAGAGAGGAAGACTGTCTCCTGTTTGCATCCTGTGGATGGCACCCATCCCTCCTCCCTCGTCTCTCACACGTTCTCAGGTTTTTCAGTCGGTTAAGTCGAGAGCTGAGGTTGGCTCCCTGGCAAGTCCCTGGAGAAGCTGGTGAAGGGCTCTGAGCCCTGTGATTGATGGACCAGTCCGCTCAATCGTCTTACAAGAGCAGCCTGCAGGCCGGGTGGTCTGCACAGTGATTGTACCAAAATTAGCAATTAAAGATTTCTGTATGGCTGAGGAGCCCAGCTGACTCAAAACTTTCTTCCTTCTCAGCCTCCTGCTTCTTTCTCTCTTTACCTTCTCTCCTGTTTTGCATAAGCTTTCATTTGAATACCCTGCAGCGCTTTTCTCTGAGCAAATTTTACTTTCATACCAAAAGAGACTTAAGAGGTTTATTCAGGTTTAAGTTTGGACGGCAACAGCATTCGAGAAGCTTTAAGGAATTTGAATTACACTTTCAGGTCAGGGAATTTGAGCAAATATTATTGAACAACTGCCAGTGGAATGCACAACACAATTGAATGGAGACGGACAATAAATTAGTGAGGGGTGACAAAGTCTTTTGTTGAACAGGGCTAAATGGATAGACAACAATTGGAAGGTTTTGTCTGTACCCTCTGTGGATACAGACAAGTCTGGGTCTACAGTCTTTGTAACCAAGGGTGACACTAATGATGCGCAGCTTGAGCTCACTCTTGCAAGCCACTGGCTGTGTAGCTCTATATTTTCTACACAAATGATTGTAGAAACCAGCATGGGAACTGGCACACCATTAAAATCTACTAAGGACAACATCATTCTTTGCTTTTTATATAATAATGGAAATTACATGGCCAAGTTGTCTCAGATTTTTTTCCTGGTGCTGATTATGATTTCTTGAGGTAAATGCTTGTGCTTTGCTGGTGCGGTGGCCAAATATTTACACACAAAATACATCTACAGAGATTTATATTCACTGTTGCTCCCAAGTGGCAGCATTAATTAGTTAATCAAACAGCCCAGACCAGCAGTACTATATGCTAGAATAACAGAAGGCACCCAGTAATTAGGTGGGTCACTGTCAACGTCTGCATGCTGAGTTTCAACAGCTGGTTTTTAAAATGTACTGCAAACAATTCGCCCTCAGGGACCAATAAACATCAAGTAATTTGAACTCCAGTAACGAGAACTTTTAGATCCAGGGCACACATGAGGAAATGTTGAGTGGTATCTGCCAAATTAGATCCTAAGTGCAAATAAAGTTTTATGAACATAAATGTGTCTGCTATATGTGGAAGCATGCCAACTTTACATCACTGTTACATAATAAGGTTTTAAAACTACACAAGATTTTAGTTCTCCGTCTTTTTTTTTCTGATGTCATTTTAAGACATTTGACATGAGCTGTCGCTCAGATTCATGCTGAAGTCGTTACTCGCTGCTGAAGTCCTCTTCTCCCTGCTAATAAGCTTTATTGAGACTCCAGGACCTCCCCCCTGGGCTTCCCTTGGCATGTGCGCCCTGCTGTCACTCAGGCCAGACTTTCCTTGATCCCATCGCTGCAGGAGGACGTGCCCGCCGCCCTACCACAACAGCTCATTACTCAGAAACTTTTGAGGGGGATTAGGAGGGTGTGGAGGAAGATGAGGAGGTGGGCAGACAGGAACAGGGGCGTCGCTTTGACACAGTTCCCCCTTTTACTCGTTGCCCCCTTCATGCTGACCCACTTCTGCTCTGTCAACCCTCAGGTACATTGACCCTGCCTGGTCGACTGGGTCACAGCAGGACCAAAACATAACTCAGCTTCCAGGATCTCGTTCCCAGAAAACCTCCGTGTGCCACACATTCCAGTCACTCTTGAGAAACTGACACAAACTCATGACCGACTGGCGGGCCTTGTTTTGATGGTACATATTTACAGGATTTGTCGTGTTGGTGTCTTGAACCTCAAACTATACAGTAGCTAATTCTAACTTTGAAAATGACTGACTGAGCTTCTGAAACAAACAACGGAGCAATACCGGATGTTTCACGTATAATATGTGTTTGTGTTGCGTTTAATGTCTGGTGGCATTTGTAGCTTAACGGAACAGGTGGTTTATGGCGAGGTGGTCTTGTCTGGTCCTGCTTGCCCACTTAGGCATCATAGCAGAGCAGCCTTTCAGTCAACACTTTGCTTTGCTGAAGCTATGGTCACAAACATGACGGGACTTTTTCTCTCTTTCCCAAAGCACTCTGCCAGAGGAGGAGATGTGTTTTCTCTGCTGGCAAAGCCGGTGATGCCTTGCCTCGTTATACGTCACCTCTGTTTCCAATCTTTCGTCAATGTGGCAGCAGATTCAAAGCGATGAATTACATTGTTCAGATCTCATTTTTTAGCCTCACTGTGGGAATCCAAAGATTGTCGTCACTGTCATTTTTTACTCCTCTGTGTCGGACTGTAATGTTGCGTACAGTGATGACTCTATTTTTTCTGTTACTCAGTGATGACCTAAAGTAAAAATAAATGCAGACGAGGCTTTTTCTCATTTAAAACAAAGACAACATGAGGTGTCTTAGTAAGGTGTTGAGCCGCCGCATCCTGCCAGAACGACTTCACCGCACGTTGGCACTGACTCTCAAAATTTCTGGAACTGGAAAGACATGTTCTCATTTGGTGTTTTCTATGATGGCTGTGGAGAGATGGTTGCGTCCAAATTCTCACAGGTGGTCAGCTGGGTTGAGATCTAGTGACCATTAAGGCCATAAAATATGATTCACATCATTTTCATTTTCATCAAACCAGTCAGTGTGACTGTGGGTGGATTGATTTGCAGTGACTCTTCCTTTCTAAGGAGACAAGTGGGCCCAAAGCATGCCAGGAAAACGTCCCCCACAGCATAACAGAACCACCAGATCCCCTCGCTGTAGGGGTCAATGGTTCAGGCCTGTGCTGTTCTCATAGTGTACATCACACTCGCCCATTTCTCAAGAACATGGTTATGGGTGACTCATCTGACCATATCACTTTTTCCACATCTCTGTAGACCAATCCCTCAAATGTGTATTTGTCTTTGTAATGAGGGGTTTATTTACTACAACTGTAACATCCGCCTCTACATAATTGTCAACAGGCTGTTTGGGCTGGCAGTCAGACCACAACCTGCACTAATATCCTCACTCACCTGTGGAAGAGTCGCTCTTCTGTTTTTCCATTCATATCCCTCCAACGCATGACATTGTGGTCATGAAATGTGAAATGTTGGCCACAATTACCATAGGTATAAATGTAGAGTTTCGGTAGGAACACTACTGAAGCTCCTGCCATCTGTGCCCCAACAATGAACCTTCTCAAAGTCGATTAGATTTTTTACTCTCGTCATCTTTATGCAAAATCTGAACCAGCTGTACCTCAACAGCTACATGAACAGGAAGCATGATTGGCTGGTTGTTGTATAATTGCATCATGCAGTGCACCTGTGTGAAAGCATCTGCATTTTTTGAGTTTCTTCACTCGTTTATTAAAAAAAAATCCCAAGTAAAATTCCTACCCATGTTCAATAATTTAAAAAGTCTGCTTGAGCGCAGGGTGTCGTACATACAATACCAAGTTTTTTTGTTCCAGCTTTTGGCAGAAACAACTGATTTTTTTTCTAGCATAAAAATCTGAATCATGGCTGTCATGATTAGGAAACCCCATGGAGCACAGTTCTACCTTCGCTGCTTTAAGCCGCCTGATTTGTGACTGTAATTTGAATAGACTATAACAGCGAGAAACAGTTCCGTCATGTTAACAAGCATGTCATTATTCTTTACAGCTCTCCTCACCCAAACACACATTTTTTCCTTCCAAAATCAGATCTTTCCCTTTCAACATGATATATAGACAAACTTGTCATCTCAGTTTATGTCATGGAAAGATCTGTTACTCATAATCACTCCGTCTCCGCGAGGAATCGTATAGGACTTCATACACGCTGGCTCCGTCTCGCTCTCGCTGTCAAACACGCAGATACAGACGCGTACACATTCGAACGCAAACAAGAGTTTCTCTTACCGTATGATAGTCACGTTGACCCCGCTGTACGTTTAATGGAGCATGCCGGGGCTTGACTGGGTGCCGAATGAGTAATGGCAACCGTGTTTTCAGGCCTCCGTCACTGACAGTCCGGCCGCGCTGGGGCATTAACAGACGCGCCGTGTTATTTACCACAGCGCTCCCGTGAACCTCTAATGTACACACCTGACGCACACTCGCCATATGATTTTTATTGCTTTGGCAAAACAAGCAAAAAGAATGTTTGGCCCATCACTTTGCTGCGAGCTGCTCATTAATCATCATTCCTTGTGTGGACAGTTAAAGCATTAGCCTCTTGTTTAAGTAGATTTACACTGCGGTTGATGATAAAGGTCAGAGCTGTCACGTAGGCTTCCCCAACATATTTATGATATAAGCACTTCCTTCATCTGTCCCTGGAGGTTGAGGAGAGTTGTAGGTAATATGATTATAAATGACGTCGAGTGTTATCGTTACATTCTGCTGGATGGCAGCGCTGTCTTATAAATGTGCTTGATGGGGATCCATTTCCATACACTCACTCTGGGGTCCCTCGAGGCCCAGTTGTGGGTCCCCTCATTTTTCCTCTCGCCGAGATGTTCACATCTGTAAGTTATATGGTCCCCCCCCCTCCTAAAGCTGAGCTCCTCTTCTCCCTCTGCGATGAATGCAATGCTTTGTGACAGAGAGGCCGGCGCTGTTAGATCATTTCTAAACTTTTTCTCCCTTTTGTTTGCAGCGTTCGCAGTGATTGCAAATGGACAAGTGGAATGTCCCAAAGGTTTCAAAAGGATGAATGTCACACACTGTCAAGGTAAGCTATAAATATACTGAAGGAGGTGTTTGTAGGTTAATACTCTCTGACTGTTATTGTATGACTGAACCCTGCTGCATATTTTAATAGTTAGTATATTAAAGCAAAAATATATTAAAAAATAATGGCATGGATGTGATAAAAACTTAATGTCCATATGTTTTCCTACATGGATCCCTGAGCACCTCCATAAAAGTCTTACTCCTTGCTGTACATCTGGCCCCTATGGGAACAATTAGGCCTGGTCCGGGGTCAGAGCCGAGCAGCCAATAAGCACACGGGGTTCCTGTTTTAATTGGTCTTGGGGTTCTGAGTGGAGAACGGTGCAGCAGGCTGTGATTATGGCAAATGTGGCTCTTTGAGTATTTTGTTGCTCCGCCTTCGCTAAATGTGCCAACGGAGGAACATCTGCGCGACTACCAGCGTACTCATCCGTGTGTACGCAAAAACAAACTTTGATCCCTTCCTGAAAAGACGCAGTGTTTTCCCTCCGCTGCAGCATCCTCGGCGTGGCTATTTGTCAGCTGGCAGTCGCTTCAAGAAGGCAATAACCACCCACAGCGGTTAAGTCAGATGATTTTCTGCAGTCAACACAGCAGACAATCCCCCCGCTAAAGAATCCGGAGCATTTATATTTGTTGGTGGTGTTAGTATACAACACCGAAATTAATCGACGTGAGCAAATAAACCGCGGCCGAGAGTTGCAGGAAAACACGCGCAGCTCGATGTGGGAACAAGACCTCGCACTGACAACCGATGTTGACACTTTGAATAACAAAAGGCAGCTTTTCTGACAGTCTACTTAGAGCTGTGTCACTGACTTGATTAATAGTGTCATAATCCAAAGGGCAATGCTTACTGAAGCCTATGGAGTATAACAACATAACGGTCCAGTGGACAGCAGTGACTACCTCTGCAACAGGCCTCATCCACTGGTTCAGCAAGTTCAACGCTTCCTCTGATCTGCGCGCAGTTACTGGCTTATTGATGTGCTCAGGTAATGATTGAGCAGGGAAGCATATTTTAATAAAATAAAGACCTGTGGACAAGGACATACTTATTTTCCAATAGTGCGTCAAGCAGCCAACAAATGTGGAAATTTATCTTTCTATTATTCATGCTTTTCTTTTATGATTGTTTCAAGATGTTTCTCCCTTTCAGTTGCTCATTTTTTGCGTTCCAAAAAAGCAAAGCTGACAGCTACCCACAATATTTACTGGAGCGCTTAAAATTCTCTGTCCCGCTCAGCTGCTGCTCCATTCCCAGAAATTATTTCTAATTTCAGGTCCCGCACCAACTGCCAAGAAGGCAAAAATCTGCTTTTTCTGGGATTTTGTCATTATTATCAGGATGGTGTCCAGCTTTGCCCGACTGCGGCTCCTATTCTGAGCTGTTTGTAGTGTGTTTTATTGGAACAGAGCGGAGCTTGTCTCATATTTGGAAATAGGCCTGATTTATACCGCTCTGCCTTCATACGCTGACCCCTGAGGTCGGTGACGTCTTCGCGCCAGCAAGATAAGATGTGCTCCATCAGAGCCGTACTCAGCCCTGTGACTTCAGAGATGATTCCTTATCTTCAGAAGCTGCTTCTCTGAAACTAGGTCAGCTGAATTGGCCACTTGTAAGTGCGCTGGTTAGATGAAAGGCCCACAGAGATGCATGTGCAGGCTGTGTTGTGGGTGGTAAACTGGTGCTGGGAGCAGGTCATATTACTCATACACCGCTTCAAAGAGGAGATGATGGAAGTCTTACATAACTCTTTTGACATTTTGGATAAAGTTAATAAAAGCTACTAATGATTTTAAAACGCTGACTTTTGACGTTCATCACTTCAAATGCTGGCGGGGTCATCAGGTTGAGATCCTGACACATATGAAGGAATCTGTGAAAACACTTTTGGCTGCTTTGGCTGTATTTTGAGAAATGTGAATTCACTATTCACAGCTTTTAAATGGGTGCATTTTTGGCCCCATCACTTCTGTCTGGTTTGAGACTTCCGAACTAGTCCTAAGGCGCTCTCTTTAACCGTAAGCTAATACATTATAAAGACGGCGATGCTGCCAGTTTGCTTTACTGTGTTCATAAATAATCCTGCAGGTGTTCATGTGAATCTTGGTGTTCCCAGAAGCTAAGAGGGAGGAAAGGTCACGTAAGGTTGCGGCAGACTGTTTGACACTGAAGTTAAGAAACTTTATCATGTGTCACTAGACTACAAAAACAGTTATGATTAGAGCTGCTGGTACGTGTGAGCTTCTACCACAAGCACCATTTGTCATTGAGAGCAACCAAGCTTGAATTCAAAATAGATGTTGAGATTAGTGCTGGTCATGACAGGTTGTCATGGAAGTCAGTTCCAATCCCAATCAACCCACCAGCAGACTGTAACAATAGCACTAATCTGGGACTCAACCGAACCATGGATTAAAGACCCCATGTGATGAAGGCTGAGCCCAACGCTGACCTGAACTCTGACCAGATGCTGCTTAAAACCAAACCGGAGTCACCGCAGTACCTGCACACGCTATATTGTTGTTCCAGAGTGCAGACTGGGAGTCTCAGCGGAGGCATTCGCAACATCTGTGGCCCGCTTCATCATCTTCACAGCATGTACCTCATCCTTACTCATCCAAACAGGTCGCCCCGCTAACAGAAACACAGACTTGTTTACATTGTCATAACATAGCAGCCGTAGCTGCAGAGCCGAGCCCTCCTGAGAGAGATAGAAAAGTGGAAAGAGAAATGGAAAAACAAAAGGGCAGCAGAGATAGAAAAGACGAAACAATAAACAACAAAGGGAACATTGAGGCATTCCCTGGATTAGCTTCAGTCCGCACAATTTATCAGCCCCAATCCCTCAAAAAGCTCACTTTTTCCAGCAGGAAGCAAAACAACAAAACAAGAGCAGATTAATTAAAATTGGGAAAATCTGTGGTGGCAGGCTGTCGGGTTCCAGTCGTCAAAGCAATGGGAAAAGACCTAATGATGTACTCTTTGTTTAACACGGTAGAACAACAAACTTTGCCTGGTCCCTGTGTGATCGCATGACTAAGCGCCTCAAATATGTCCCCCTATGCTCCTGGCTGGCACATTCGCCGGCTCGCTCGCTTCCATTTGGCTTTGTGACTCAGGAGCTGTTGGAACAGTAGGCGAACTCCACTGGCCACTGTATCGCTCCAACACATGTTTCAGGCCAGACGGAGGGAAAAACCTCTTTATGACTTTCACTTGCTGACGTAAGCCGAAGGATGCTGTGACCTAATTGGACACTGTAAAGGAAAGATGCTGAGGAGGATGATAATCTAAATCGCTCTGTGATTCCCGGGTTTCCTACAGCTTTAATATTTTATGCCTAAAAAGATAAATGATTTTGAGTGCGTTTGTTTTACACCGGTCAGATTTGTTGCGCGTGTTTCCCCCTTGTCATCACTTGTGCAACCTTAAAGTTTCCCCCATTTCATCGCCTCCCGGCAGCTTTAGACTACATGAGCTATTGCAGTTTGTTGACACCTTTCTGCCTGTCTGCCGGCCCGCAAGCGTGAAAGCTCCCGATGTGAAGTTCACTAAATCTAATCTCGGTTCGTGTTCTGAGTTTGGTTCAGCGGGAGTTCAGAAAAAAATGTTTTGTCGGGGGAAAAACATGACTTCATGATATTTCCATAATCAGAATGATGCTGCTTGACTGACGCGCTGCATATTTCACAGACATCAACGAGTGCCTGTTGCCTGGACTGTGTAAGAACGCCGAATGCCTCAATACCAAAGGAAGCTACAGATGCACATGCAAGCCGGGTTTCATGTTGGATGCTGCAAGGAGCCACTGTGTCTGTAAGTATCGCTTGTTTTCTTTGATTCACGTAATTCAAGCATTCATGTGATGGATGTATTGACTTCTCTCGCAGCGGACAAGGCGGTGTCGGACCAGAGGGCGTCGTGTTACCGATCCATTTCAGCCACCACGTGCTCTCTGCCGCTCGCCAATCACCTCACCAAGCAGATATGCTGCTGCAGCCGAGTGGGCAAAGCCTGGGGCGCCGCATGTGATCGCTGTCCACTGCCGGGATCAGGTAAAAGCTACCCCGTTCTTGTCCTCAATCTGCAAAATCGAACATCCACTTTTTTGGGTTTTTGCTCTTCTTGCTGAAAAAGCCCTTTTCCGGGCTTAAACGCTTTTGCAGATCTAAAGTGTCACATGTAATCTTACGCAAGCGCGAGCAATGGTAGTGCAAGAATATTTACCACTCAGTCACCATTCTGTTCTCTGGCAGGCGTGTAAAGCAGTTCAAAATAGCTGAATGTGTTTGGAATGGAAAAGGACCAAAAACATAACAGTTTTCATATTTTGGAGGCTACATAATAGTGGGAGTCAGTCTTGTGTTATCGCTCCAACCCTCAGAGAGAAACCCCACTAATAGACCGGGAAAGCTTCACAGCAGAAATACATAGCTTAGCCAAGTGAAACATTGGAAGTAGTTGTCATCTCGTTTCTTTTTTTTTATTATTCATACTGATCTAATCTTCAAAGTCTGTGAGAGAAACAAGCTGGTTTTATGGAGTGTCTGTACTGGCCGGTGATTCATGGGGATTGTCATAGATCAGATATCACAGACCTCCATGGCGCTGCTCAGTCAGGACTGACACAGACACACAGACTCGGATTATTTCGGACGCTGGCTTTTGTACGGCCTGACAAGCTGTTCGAGCCATGTTCCGAACAAAGGCGGTCGGGCCCATTACTTGTGACTTGGTAACAGGAGCTCGTTGAGCTTCCTTCCATATTTACCCCCATCTCCTGTGATGTGGCTCCTGATCGTATGTAGCCCCATTTCCCTTCCACTTTAAATTCATCATTCAGTAGCCTATCATATCCACGTTTCCTGCATTTACGCAAGCATTTACTGCGACCACATATCTGTCACTGCTCATATCTCTATTCCAGACTCTTTTTGGCGTACAGTTAATGGTTTCAGGTCAGGTAGGGGACACGGCGCTTCTCACTTGTAATGGATTCACCATTGCTGAGATTTGTTGGACTGCGATACAAAGAGGTGCAGTCTCCTTCCTTTTATCTGGCCGGCCAATCCTCCATTAGCCTCTCATTCACATGCTTCTACACCAAACAGTTCATAGGTCAGCCAGTATTACATGATCCTCTACTTCCCCCACTGGCATGGTCGTGTCTTTCTGTTTGACTGTGCAGATATCCGCCCACCCCTCCAATCTCGCTGGTAGCCCTCTGTGACAGCTGTCACTGGGCCGCCAGCTCGCTGGTTCTGCAGCAATCGGCGAAACCCAATCCGCTCATTCACAGCGCACAGTAAAGCACAGCATGCTCGTCATAACAGTGTTACACGCTTGGCTTATGGTGTTACTGCGAATATCAGACGGAAATATGAGCCGCGACGACGCTCCGTCAGAGCCGAATTGTTAGCTTTATGAGTACAGAGGTGATGTTCTCCATCACTTATTGTTTGCTCCTGTGTTTCCTGCCCCACAGACCACTTCAAGGAGATCTGCCCAGCTGGCCACGGATACACTTACTCTCGATCTGATGTGCAGATTTCTCTCAGGCAGCTGGAGGCTGACGAGCTGCAGAGCACTGGGTTGTCGCTGGAGGAGCAGAACCCGACTTATCCCCAGTTTCCATCCTCTCAGCCTTCACTGCCGCAGTTTCCCAGCTACCCACAAACACCACAAGTACCCCAATACCCTGAATACCCCGAGACACCACAAGCACCCCAGTACCCCTTGACTCCACAGCATCCCGGACAGCCGGACGGTAAGAATTAGATATTTGGTGCGTTTAAATCTCTGCTGCTTTCAGCCTTGTAAACTGTGAATGATAAAGAGATGAATAACTGTTTCTGCTAATGGCTCCTATTCACTCAGAGTTAGATCATGTTCGCTTAACCGCTTGAATATTTTGAATTCATGGCATAAACAGTGCCGGACAGTTGTTATTTTTTTTTCCTGTAACATGTAAATGGATTAGCTTTTAACAGCCAAACAACAACAAGGATGTTTTGATCTCCATAAATACTTGTTTGATAAAACACCGAGCATATTCCAAGCTGCGTTCGCGTCCTCCATCCATCAAAATAAAAAAGCCTGCGAGCATCACCGAAATGCACACCAGTAATCCGCCTCGGCCATACATCTAAATCCACGGGATTTCCTGCGAACGTATCTTCTTGATTTAACGCTCGCGAAATGCTTTATTGGCTACGACATTTTGATTTACACGAGGAGACAGTTCTATAAATATTTAGGGATTTTTGTCTTCATTATCAAAGATATCTGTTTCCTTGTCTCTCTTTGCGTTTTTTTTTCCCCGGGCCAGTAGTCTCTGTTACTTCTTCGTCTGGCTCGGAGGGGCGAATGTGTCGTAAGCTATGTTTTATTAGAGCTAAAGACTTCCAAAGCTGCGAGTCGAGTGCCTGAAGAGAACATGGGTTTTCGTGTGTATTCGCTAACGTTTGCTTGTTAATGCGAGCAGAATGTCAACGTTTGCTACTGATAAACTTTTCCTCTTTTTTTTTCTCCTGTTTTGTGGCAGATGTGGAAATTCTGAGCCCGGTAAGTTCTCCCTCCCTCCCTGCCTGCCTGCCGACCTCCTGGCACAGGCTTTAGAAATGTTTGTCTTAGAACGATATGCTCTAACTATCTCAGCTGGAGGGTTTGTTATGATTATATAACTTATTCAGACCACATTTTGTCAGAGACACACACCTAATTAGCGAAGATTATGACAACAGAAGCAGGCGTACTATATGAATATGCAGGAGAAAAATGCGACCCAGATGCTTTTTTGACGAGTAATATTTGCTTGTTTTCTAGCCAGCTGTTGTGACTGACTCACCGCTGAAATATCCAGGTATGTGGTTTTTTTTTCCCTCCTTGGCTTCACTCACACAGATCATACAACACTACTTGTTGAACAGTTGCCTCAAGATTGTTGTTTAATGCCTGTTGCGGTTTTGATTTAGCATCTCTTAAGCTCAAAGGCCGGCAGCAGTTTCAGACAGGCACAGACATGTGATGTGATTTCTATAAATTGCTCCGCAGTGGCGGTCTCGATCTCTGTCTGCTTTGCCCTCACGCCAGCGAAAACATTGACGCTGAAGTCTGAGGGTTGACTGCATTCAATGAGTGTACTCGATTTATTTTGGTCTCTGTGATGTTTTTAGCCCGGGAAAAAAAAAAGAAAGAAAGCGTGGATCATTTTTATATTGTTGAGCGATGAATGGCAGTTACGGCAGTAGTGGTTGGTAAAACAAACAGTGTCTTGTTTCGGTTGTAGAGGCTGAGACCTCTCTCTCTTTGTGCTCACTTGTACCTCCCTCTTAACAGAGACTTCTCCAGACTTAAGTGTCAACCTGAGGCCAGATGCAAAGGAAAGAACCCCCATAGACTCATCCACAGGTAAGAAATACATCAAAAGTTTCAGCATTCGAAAGCAGGCCTGTCCGGCATCACTGAATAGATCGAAAAAAACCCAGTTGACAGGTGGACAGGGAGCTGTAGGACTACCATACAAAACGGCAGCCTGGAGCTCAGCTCTTCATTTTTTATGCTCTCTGTCAACTGCTGGCAGACGGCAGCACATCTCATAAGGCATTCTTGCAGGCTTACCCAAAGTAAAGCTGGGGAGAGCTTTATTTGACCCCTTTTCTCCGAGCCAATTTGGCTTGAATCTGCTGCGCTGCTCGGAGGGTGAGAGGGCGAGAAACCAAGAGAGAGTGTGCCTCTTGGAAGGGGAAGCTCTCCTGAGTGGACAGAGGCCAGATTTATGAAAAATAGAGGAAGAGGCGGAAGACAGAGTGAAAGAGTGTTTGGGTGACAGACGCAGTGGAGGGAAAGAGTGACGGAGACGTTGAGGAAGTGAGAAGAATTTACAGTAATCCTATAGAGAGAGACGTAGTTTTGTCCTGAGGCCAGACACAGAGGCCCGGCTCGGTGTCTCTGTTTTACCACGCTGCCTTTTGGACGGAAAAAGACAAGAACAAAACTAATGTCAGGCTCTACTGTGCATGACCTGTTTCTTGCCGAACCCTTTGTAAGCACTCCATACCACCTGTTAGAACACTACAGTGCTGTAAAACCCGTCCTCTCATCCAAGACTCCACCTATAAAACAGCAAGATGGGTTCCCGTAGAGAACAACATGTGTTAGTGGAATGTGCCTTTTCTATTTTTTTTATGACGTCTATAATATTTTGTAACCCTTGGTCCAAAATTTAGTCTGTCTTCTGGGTAACGACTGCTGACATCTTTTGCGACTCTTTCCCAGGTATTGACAAGTGTGCCACCACTCCCACTATATGCGGCCGCGGGAGATGTGTCCCCGTGCAGACCGGATACACCTGCCACTGTGAGCCGGGATTCAAGCTCAGCGCGCTGCAGACCAACTGCATTGGTAAGTAACAAAGGCAGAGAGAGAGAAATGGAGCGAGACGGGGGTAACGGAGGGACACTGGAAGAGAAGGAGGCGCACACAAACACACACACATGCTGACACCAGAGGCCACGGCGGCTCGTTCTGTCATCATCGCAGTGCAAGCAAGTCTTCAACACCAATCACTGCGCGGCACAGAAGCCTTGAGAAGTCAAGTGAGCCAAAATGAAAGGGATCCGTTTGTTTATGCTGACCTGTTCCATGATGCCTGACAACAGCGTTCGGGCCATCCAAAGAGCTGCCACGACGCTGTGATCCCTTACCTCACAAAGGCCTTGGCTGCAGCCTCGGCTCCCCTCGACTGGGCTCGGGCCCATCGCTGAGGAATGCCTGTACCGTAGAGGAGTTCCAAAGTCAGGGCTTTTGAAAGTGTGCAGTGTTTTCTGGTGAAATGGAACGGGAGTGTACTTTACTTTCTTCCTCTTGTCTCCTTTGGTAGATGTGAATGAGTGTGATGAGGACCCATGTGAAGGAAAGGGCCGCTGTGTAAACAGCTACGGCTCCTACACCTGTCAGTGCCACAGCGGCTACAGCCAGGTGATCACTCAGAACAGGAAATTCTGTCAAGGTGAGACACGACCCAACTGACAGTAGGAGATATAATGTTTCCAATGGAAACACAGGCTGCTGCTAACTTTCTCTCTGTTCGAGTAACGCAAGTTCTCGTCCGTCAGCGGTGTTAATTTAAAAAGCATCCTGCCCTAATTAATGCCGTGGAACACAACAGTCACTTTCTTTTCCGTTCCCCTTGCTTTTCATTCAAACTGGCAGACATTAATGAGTGCAGCATGCCCAACAAGTGCCAGAATGGCAACTGCGTCAACACAGAGGGATCTTACACCTGTGAATGCAACACGGGCTACGCCAAGTCCTGGAGAGGCCTCTGCGAAGGTGACTCGCATGTACACTCAAGCACCTACGCACACAGAGTTCACATAACAGCACAATCCTATCCAGACCTATTTGTTTGCTGCCATGAATTAATGTGTAGCCCGGTAACAAAACACATATTGTGTTTTGCTCCAGTCAAAGCCAGAATGAAAACCTTGTTCAGTGCGTGACAGAGGGATTTTGTGTGTGTATACATTAGCATTTACACCCTCTTTCTTCCTCGCATGTGTACATTGTTTTAGCAACCTTGTTTTAGTAACAGCTAATTCAGATTACATGTTCTCGTTCCACCTTTCCCCTGAGCAGACATGGATGAGTGCAGAGATCCCAGCTCCTGTCCCAACGGCGTCTGCGTCAACACTGTCGGCTCGTTCCAGTGCCAGGCCTGCAGCCCGGGATTCAGGCCTGTCAACGAAAGATGTGTGGGTAAGGCAACCTCACACCCCATCACAGCAGCAGCAGCACCACCACCGCTACCCAGAGTCCTCGGGGTGTTTCCGACCGCTGCATGGAAATAAGCCGGGTTTCCCTCTTACGCTGTAAAAGCTTCCTGTATTAGGTAACATTTACCTAGACGTAGGCTGCTGCTCTCGAGTTGGCAGCACAAAAAAGACCAACGAGAAAAAAAAACCCAAGGCGACATGGCAACGGGCCGTGATGTTAAAGACCTGTTGACAGCTTATGATGCAGTACAGTTCACCAAATAGCACGAGCTGAATTAAATTTGCAGCGTTGCGGCTTCTTTTTTGTTTTTTTGTTTCGTGCTCAAAGGGACACCCTGACTGCTGCCGTGCATGAATATTCTAAAATAAATTGTATTTTTGCTTCAAAAGACTTCATATTGGATGTTTTATGTCTACTGTGGACCACTTCTGGGCCCCTAATGACAGCTCAAAGCCACAGCGATGACGGCTGCATTGCACGGACCGAGAGCAACCCTCCGCCGTCTTTGTCCGTTCAGTGTTTCCACGGTGCCGGGTGTATATCGGCTCCTCCGCCCAGCAGCCTCTGCATATCCCCAATATTGTTTAAACACATCCACCGTGTTATTTCTGATCTTTTGATATCTCTGGCCCCGTAAAAAGGTTGTTTATAATTCTTCAATTTGGGAGAGTCCAAATATTTTCTCTTGGCCACAGCCTTGAACAAACAGTATATTATTGTTGGAGAGCTCAGGCCACTGTACTGTCGGGCCCTGCAGAGGCCGGCGAGGCTTGATTACCACCGCCGGGCTAGGTGAGAGGACCAGGCAGTCACAGGAGACTTACGAGAAGGTCAGCGGGTCAATTCCCCACGGCGAAGAGGTCCCGGCGCACAAACAGATGTTCTCAGTCATCCATAAAAGTTGTCTGTAAAACTCCAACTGTGGATTAGCAGGTTTGACGACACAAATGGTGGACAGCCTACGCTCGGTATGTGTTTTGCTTAAGCTAACACGCTAGCAGAACCTTGAAGCGGCCCGATTACATAACAGCCCGACCGGTGTTCCTTACCACATCCCCTCCGTGTGACCTTGCGCCCCTCTAATTTGTTTGGAAACCTAAGCGCCAGCAGTGAGTATTCCAGAAATGTGAAAAAAAAGCACCAAATGAACGACGGAAAACCAACTTTAGTAGTACTTTTGAGTTCTTTTATAATCGATTTTTCAGTAACTCTTGTTTTAGGTCTGGCGGTTTTCTTGTCTCCAAGGAAAACAGCACTTCAGCCACTTTGGTGTTTGTCAGTCCACTAATATTTCTCATCCTGTGTAAACGCGTGGTGTATAAATAGCGACTGAGAGGAACCCGGCAAATGAGGGATAACGCTGGGAGTAAATATTTCTGCTCGGAACATTCACACATGCGGGGCTAGCGGGCCGACGGTACAGGTCCCGCGCTGTGGGAGCCACATAAAACAGGCCCGCGTTAGAGCTGGGTTTCCAGTATTCGCTTCAGCCAATTGACGGCAGCGCAGCACAGTAGTTTGGACCCAATTGGCCGAATCGTGGATAAGCCTAATTGTTGGCGCGATAGAGAAAACAGCTCCGCTCCCTGGTCGGGCCTTATCGGCGGAGGCCTGAGAGATGCCGGATGATTGCAGAAACAAAGCATCGGGCCACACTGACAGACGTCTGGCAGTGCCACGGCCGGGCAAACAAAACCCGGTCTGTGACTCTCCTGCAGAGTTTTCCGTGTGTGTGCCCTGCGTTTCAGAATCACCTTTCACCACCTCCTTTGCAGACTTTTCCTTCCTCTTTGAACGTCTCCTGCTCTGTCTCTTACACTCAAACGGTGCTTTTACTCTCCCCGACCGAAAATATATGCTTCTGTTAACACTTGATAAATTCCTCTATAACGCAATGTTTCTGTACGAGGTTTGCCACGGGTCAACGGTTCTGACTCACCAAGTGGAAAAAGCAGACATAGTAAAAAAAGGTCTTCATGAATGGTGTTTGGTCTTGGTACTGATGTAATGTAATGACTGCTGTTTGCAGTCATTGTGCACACTAATTATGCTGTAATTGTTTCCTTTTTACTGCTGATTTATGCTGACACAACCCTTATTTTGAATGCAGATCGTTATTTTTTATTTTTTTTCAAAATTTTATTTACATCTCTATCACAAAGCCCCATTTTGCCAGAGGGATAATCACTCATGCATCTTATCGTTTGTTAAAGGGTCATTCGCCCAAATTGCACACAAGCATACTTTCCCTTTTACCTCTGGTGGCATCTATCCATGCAGAGATTGTAGATTAGAATTGTAGGTGCAGGAAGCAAATTACAACTGTAGATAGCACATAAGTTGTTTTTCTCATTTTCTGTGACAGAATGGCATCTGAAGTCCCCTTCTCATATATGTTGTGTCCTGTCCTGACCCCCGTCTGTCCTCAGATCTGAACGAATGCTTGAACCCGGCCGTGTGCGGTCGCGGTCGCTGCGTCAACACCGAGGGCTCCTACACGTGCAACTGTTTCCAAGGTTACGCCCTCTCACCGGACAACGTTTGCCAAGGTAACTGTCAGTCAGAAGGTCAGTCAGGGATGTAACAGCCCTGTGAGTAGCTCTATGGAAGCTTGCAGCAAAAAAAAAAAGAAGCTACAAAGAGTTGTCTTTATTTTCTGAGGCCCTCCATCTTCCCTCTGTATCTTCCCTCCAGATGTGGACGAGTGCGTGCTTCCGGAAGTCTGTCTCCACGGCCGCTGTGTCAATCTGGACGGCACCCACAAGTGCACCTGTAACCATGGTTACCAAGTCACCTCAGACAGCAAATCCTGTGAAGGTCTGCAAAGGATTATCTGGAGCTGTTGGGTGTAACTCATCGCTGCATACTTCTGCGCTCTCTCTCGACAACAGCATAATGTCTGCAAATTATTTCTTTTCGCTAGATGTCAACGAGTGCGCAACTGGTAACGCGTGCCCCGAGGGTATTTGCATCAACACTGCAGGTTCCTACACTTGCCAGAACTGCAGGCCTGGGTTTGGACCGTCTGCTGACGGACTGACGTGCGAAGGTATGACAGTGGCTGTCCAATGATTTAAGTGCAGTTTTAAAGAAACACTGCGAGATAGCGATGATTTGTTTGCCCACTAGCGATGAATCCTGTCCTTTTTTTGTTTCCAGATGTTGATGAGTGTGCCCAGGGTGACTTGTGTCAAGGTGGAGTGTGCGCCAACACTGAAGGATCCTACAGTTGCACCAGATGTAAGGCTGGCTACAGAGTGTCTCAAGACCGGCAGAGGTGTGAAGGTAAATTCAATCTCCAGCTGTGCGTCTCACTCAGTAAAAACCATTAGCATTGTTGCGACTGTTGCAGGAAACTCATCTGGGCAGTTTGTCAATACGCCATTAAATGTCTTTTGCCGTTTAACTGCATTCCCTCCACATATTACTCAGTCCTATATATAAATGCTGATGTCTGTGCATGCCTGTGCTGGTGTGCATGTGTTTCTCGTAGATATTGATGAATGCCAGTCCCTGTCTACCTGTGCCAACGGGATCTGTCTAAACTCAGAAGGCTCCTACACCTGTGAGAACTGCCCTACAGGCTACAGAGTGTCATATGACGGGGAGCTGTGTGAAGGTTGGTTTATTTAACACTGCCCAGACCTTGGCACAGCCGCACATGTATCCTAAATTCAGGGTCACGGAACCAATACTTGTGGTGAAAATACTTCTTGCATTCATCAATTTGAATTTCTTGGCTCCAAAGGCAGTCCGGTCCTGCCACGAATGTGTAAACGTCTGTATTGTTTCACAACAGATGTTGATGAGTGTGCGCTGCCCACAACCTGCCCCCAGGGAACCTGTACAAACACAGAGGGCTCGTTCACATGTGTCATCTGTCAGCCCGGTTTCAGGGTGTCGGAGGATGGACAGCAGTGTGACGGTGAGGCTTTTGGCTTCGTTTCCGCACGAGTGTTCTTTGTTATGTTTGTGTACTTGGGCTCAGGTGCTCTCATTCAAACATGCCAGACCTTGTCTCTGCACCGAACAGAGAGTCAAAAAGCGCCGACTCTGCTCAGCATGTTGCCCAACCGGTACAGGTTGTAGGCAAACAGCATCAGGTGTGACAGTTTGGACCCAACGTGTCTTCATCTGAGCCCAAAATACTCGTAGACATCACATCATAGCTGGACCCCTCCGTCTCTGGCACCGCTCATCTGATCCTTGTTCAACACAATGAAACATCAGCCCTCAAATAGAACACGATGATGTCAGGCGAATGTCCTGCAGTTTGCTCAGCTAAAAAGATGGTGGTGTCGACATTTGTAATTCCTAGCTGCAGTGATTACCCATCTAACTGATTACAACTGGCAGGCTTTATTTATTTGAAGCCAGAGATGGTAATCTGTACTATGATGTGTCCATGTATTTTTGTCCAGATGTGGACGAGTGCCTGGTGGCTAACTCGTGCCCGGGCCAGCTGTGCACGAACACGCCAGGATCTTACACCTGTACAAGCTGCGGAGCCGGATTCCAGCTGTCTAAAGATGGTCACAACTGTGAAGGTAAACCTGTATTTACCTACCTGCTTAGAGGAGTTTATTATAGCACTCTAAGCCGAAGTTGACTAGAGTAGCAGAGGAATGCTCAGAACATGATTACAAAAACTCTTTACAGTGCTCAGTAATTTGTCATGACATGATTTATGAGATCAATGCAGAGAGATGGCTGCTTTGACGAAGCCAGTGAGGTTGGATCTGTCATGACTTCATGAGAAGCAGAAAAAGAATGATTATTTAAACGGATTCAAACGTGGTCTCAGTTAGCCGTATGTACCGCCGTGTGTTTTTGAATGGAAGTGTGGATCTAGCCCGGAGAGGAAGATCCCCCACCGATATGTGTCTTTGCGCTGGGAAAAAGTTTCACAAAACAAGCCCGAGTCCAAGTCAGCCTCTGATAGGATTTTAATGGATGTCTCTGATGCCATGGAAAATATCAGGGGGCTTAATTTGAAATGAAGTCAGCCACTCCCCTGCCGTCTGCGTACTGCAGCGAGCCTGCCCCGCTGAACTCGCTGCGTTCACCCAAAGGCAAAACGGAGCCATCTCAATCACTTAACAATGGCCCGCACTATTTTCTCCTTAAGAAATACAATCTGTGCCGGCTCGAGGAATTTCCCGATGATCACATAACAGCGAGCCAGTGACTGTTTGTAGATACAGTAATTATACGCCACCTGTAATAGCTCGCTGTTTTGGATTCGATGACCGTCCAGCATACTTATCTTTCCACCCTTTTTAATAAAACACTGTCAGTGCGATCTAATAAAGAGGGCTTTGCTTACTGTATGTTAGGCAGTAAAGTTAAGCTCAGTCGCACGTTGCTATTAATAATTTTTTTAATAGATAAGACAGTGGAAGCACAAAACGTGGGCTCTGTAGAGGTCCCTTCTGCTTCAGATGATAACCTATAGCTTAATAACCTTCTCTTCTTCTTCAATCTTTTAGACATTAACGAGTGCCAGACCCCAGGTGTTTGCCCCACGGGTGTTTGCACCAACACAGAGGGCTCCTTCTCCTGCATGGCCTGCGACCCGGGCTTCTCGGTGGCGCCCAACGGGCTGTCATGTGAAGGTACGGTGCGGCGGGCGACTCCCTGTGGTCACTACATTTTTATGAACTCTACGCAATCGCTTTCACAGTCATCCGTTCCAGCGCAGTATGACCGACTATTACTTAATGCTGCAGATGATGCATGACTTTTCTGACATGCTCGCTGTGGTCTGGAAGCTCGTCATCTAGATGACAAAACTTGGGCAAAATTGAAGTGAGACCGTGTGATTTACAGCTGGTGTGAATGTGTCATGCTGATGACGTGTGTGTGTGTGTGAATTCAGATGTAAATGAATGCGAGGACACCAACTCGTGCGTGGGAGGCCAGTGCACCAACACCATGGGCTCCTATAGCTGCTCCTGCCCGTCTGGTCTGGAGCTGGTTGATGGGACGTCCTGCAGAGGTATGCACACCAATTTTTACTTACAGTCGTCCTCAAATGTATTCATACTCTTCCATTAAAGAAAAGGCAAAAGTCATAGTAGTCGCTCAAATAAGTAGAAACTGAAAAAAGTGCTAATAAATAAAAATTTGCTAAATTATAATTTAGTGAAATAAGACATTGCTTTTGAATTGTGGTTGAAAAGAATTATTTAAAAAATAAATTAAAAATGTCCTGGCAGGGCGCCGCTATAGCTCACCTGGTCCCATGTGCAGGGCTACAGTCCCAATGTGGAGGTCATGAGTTCGAATCCCGCTCATGGCCCTTTCCCACACGTCCTTCCCCCCATTCTTCTCCCCTACTTTCCTGTCTCTTTCTCACTGCACTATACAAATAAAGGCACAAAGGCCAAAAAATGAATAAATAAAATGTCCTGGAAAAATTAGAGCACTTTGCTGATGAGCAGTGAAATCAGCAAACCTGTCAACAGGTGCAGAAGTCTGATTAAAAACACTGGAGTGCAGTGATTGGCTCAAAGGGTTGTTCAACTGAATATTAGTTTACGGGTCCTCTCATGCTTTTTTGCTTTTTTATTTTTTTAATTTTAATATTTCTGTTGAACCACAATTCAAAAGCAATGTCATGATTTTCATTCAATTTTTATTTTTGTCAGTTTCAACTTAATTCAGCTGTTTTTTTTTTCCTTCTTTAATGGGAGGCTATGAATACATTTGAGGACGACTGTACATACACGTGTCTATATATGCACTGTGGGTAACCAGACCCCTAAAATGTACCATTAGTGGTGAGCTGTTTCTTACATTGATATGTTGACACAGCTGTATGAGTGTATTTGTGCTTGTTTGTGACAGATATCAACGAGTGTTTAACCATCATGGGGATCTGTGGAGAGGGAGACTGTCTGAACAGCGAAGGGTCCTACTCCTGCGCCTGTCCTAACGGGTACACCAGCACTGATGGAGGGACCGGCTGCCGAGGTACAGTAAAAGCAAAAAATAGCCATCATTATTCGGATAATTTTATGTGCTTTATGTACTTGGGTGAGGCACAATCACAACTGGAGCAGCTTTGTAATAATGTAATAATGGCTTTTGGCACGTCCTGCTCCAATCATATTACGGCAACCGTGCCGATTTGCACAAGTTTCTTCATTTGCTTGCACACAGGCATTTCTCACCGCACTGTCCGGGATCTCTGGCACTGCTTCTCAGGCTGGTCTTTTTGTGTAATGGGCCGTAGCCTCATCAACTGTCTCAGCTCACTCGCTCTCAGCTCGGACATCAGTTTGATGTTATTCCAGCCGCACCCAGTGACCCGTTGGTCATAGCGATGGGAAAAAAAAAAGAAAAGAAAAAATCGAGCTTGATCATCAACTAAGGAAGACTTCTCAACAAACTTGAGCACTTGCTGTAAAAAATACATGAAATAACTCTGGCTAGAGTGTCAGAATTGGATCAGTGTTATTTCTGGTGGGTCTTGCAAACAAGAGGTGCAGTTAAGCAAACTGGATGTCTGGCAGCGAGAAATCCTGTCATGCAACGAGGCAGGTAGGTTCAGGTCCAGGCCCCTGCAAGATGCTGGCACTGTCCTGTAATTGGCAACAGTTGCTCACGATGGAGGACTAGTGTCAGTCCTCCAGCGGGGACGTTCTCCAACCGAGGCTCTGGCCTGGTTGCACTTTAGATATCGTTCACAGACTCTGAGCACACTGCCCAGCCTGCATCAGGTACTTTGGCCGCCCGCCACAACAAACACTGGGCCCTAATTATCCTATAAATCAGCAGTTGTCGTATATTTTCTTGCAGTCTGCCATTGTGTGTACAGTGCTGACACAATGAAAGCCAGACCCCTCTGACATGAGCCTGCGAGGGGAGGCGAGGGGAGGATGAGGGTTTGAGAGGTTTTGGGAATGAAAGATGAGTTTAGTCAGGTGAGGCCAAAATGATGCTTGGCCCTGACCGGACCGTTCTTTCTGCAAAAACAAGAACAAGCATTAAAAAAAAAAAAGAGCGACAGCAAAGTGAAAAATATCTCGACTGAATCCAAATCAACAGGTTGTGCCACAGTCTGGCTGCGCTGTTCAATAAGGCTTTGAAGCCTTTGAATAAACTCCAAAAACATCCAGTCGCTGCGTATTTATGTGTTTATTCGAAGTCTGGACTGTTGTTTTTTTTTATTCGCTATCTTTGCAAATGCGTGTTTACCCTGTCGTCTCTGAAAGATTCATCTGATTATTAAAGGTTGGAAAAGGAAGACAGGCGTTTTCCCCAGTGATGAATTTCCACCGCTTTCCTCCCTCCCCCCAACCTTTCAGCACAGGTCCAAGTACCTTCCATGCTATGTTGTAATGCTGCAATTATCCACCTATCTACAGCTAATCAAGCATGTAGCGTTCATTATTAATTTTTACGAGTCGCGGGGAAATGTTCTCAGCCTGAAACGCTGAGGTAGATGTTTTTTTTTTTCCTCCTTCGCTTCCTGTTTGCCAGTATACCGTTAAGCGCTCCAAATGGCCGGCGTGTCTGGTGCTCAGACCAACGCTTGATTACACATTCTTTTTGGGATACTTATGAGAAGGAGTGGTGTTCCCTGCGGACCTAATGAAGACAGACGATATATCTGGATATTTAGTGATAATCAAATCTTGACCCACCCTTTCCCCAATTACTTCTCTTAATTTGTCTGCCTTTCTGTTCCCCCTTTTTTGTCTGCCTTAGACGAGGATGAATGCAGCAAAGACAACGTGTGCGTCCGGGGACAGTGCGTTAACAGCGACGGCTCCTTCTTGTGCTTGTGTGAGGCCGGCTTCAAGTTCAACGACGACACCGCCGACTGCGAAGGTAAGACGGACTCAGGCTCTCCTGTGACGTCCCGTTGTGTTTGTCGTGGTGGTTTTTGACCCCAGCTCCGCCCTGAGCTTCCTTCTCTCCGAGCAAACCGACGTGTCAGCGTTACCGTTTGATCGTCACGCTACATTAAGGCTTAAGCAAACCCGCTATAGCGCAGTTGGCTATGATTGATTGTCTATAGAGCGCAAGGACTGAGCTCCAGTGAAAGTGTCCAAGCCTGGCTTAGAGGCTTTCCTCCGTGGTCTCGGGGCTGAGGGGTGCCTGGATTACGTGGCTGGAGTCCTGAACTCCCTCTCCCCTGTGGGAAGTATGAATGACCCCATTGTGAGCAGGAGGTGTTTCTCCCTCTGGAACATCTCCCTTTAGCTCCTTCACAAGTTCTTTGGTTGCTGTGATAATATTGTTCTTGGCCATTCCTGTTGCCTGCTGCGTTTACTGAGGACAGCTACACCGCAGGCCTCCTGGCCAGCTCCTGCTGCACAGCCATTACACTGGAAGCAGAGGAGCAGCGGAGGGAATATGAGTTTGTGTGCGGGGGTGCGTGTGTCAGTATCATTTTCTAAATGTGCATGTGGCTGCGTTTGTGCCTCTGTTTGTCATTTACTAACCAATGTCTGTCCACCTGTCTTTGTCTGCACAGACCAGAATGAGTGCAAGGAGTTTGGAAGCTCGGTGTGCGGCACCTGGCGCTGCGAGAACACGATCGGCTCGTACCGGTGCTTCATGGGGTGCCAGCCCGGCCAAGAGGGCACCGCTGACTGTGGTGAGTGGTCCAACCGTGTGGAGTGAAAAGACTAGTGAACACAGTATGTCGGGGGGAAAAAAAGAAGTATTTCAAACCTGCTGATGCAAATTTGCACCAAATAGGACCCTAATTTAATACACTATTAAAGTTAAAGATAGATCATAGCCTCCAATCAGCTCACCACCACACCAATCTACTCTTTCCCTCCATGCACAGGTAATTATAGTGTAGCTGCAGACACAGGGGCTGATGGGAATTAAAAGCTATCAAGTTATTCTCTACAGAAATCCACAGAGAGAGAAGATGAGAAATGGCCCCTGAAATTGGGGCCCTTTAGAGACAGAACCGCACCGTCATTTGAAAGCAGCCAGAAACTGATAACAGTCCCATCGTCCTGACAACGGAGCTAATGGAGCGTCTCTGGACTGAGACACGAGGTGGAACCTGATCACCCCTGTTCTTCTTTTAAAGAAAAGATGGGATTGTCAGGCCAACTTGGATGGTCTCATATCTAAGTTACATGCTCTCCTTGTGGAGGAGCCCAGTCACCTGGCATGGCCGCCGTGGTTTGTGCTTACATCTGGGGTGCACAGCTGGCCAACAACAACAGGCACATCTCCATGACCCCCATTAAGACTTGTGTGTGTACTGGCAGGACTAAACACCTTGGGCTTGAGATACTAATATGGTTTGTTGCTCAACAGTTTATTACTTTTTGTTTTGTTGTGTGGTATTGCTTGTCTTCGTCGCTCTCATAGCGCCATAAAAAAACAAGTCGGGGTTATGAAGACAAAAACAAAAGGCCAAATACTTCTCTCATATTAAGACAGAATCCAAGCAGTCACTAGAGAGTGACAGGCGAAGAAGGGAAATCAATCTGAGAGCATCAGAAAGGAATGATGTGTTGGACTGCAGATGGAAGCTGCGGGTGTTTGTGGGTGATTGTGTGCACATGTGAGCGCGAGACTGTGTGTGTGTGTGTGTGTGTGTGTGCGGTTAACTGTGGGGTTTTGCATCCTCCCATGTGTGTTTGTGTTAGAGGAAGAGAACCAGAGACTGTAACAGTTGTGGAGATGCTCTCAGAGTGCGCCGTAGCTTCACATATTCTCATGACCCTGGGTTTTTATTGGACCATCAACTGATGGAGATCAGGGGAGAATATGCTGCCGCAGCGCTGATCAGTGACAGGTCGGACCTCCGCCCCCTCCATCACCCAGATCCCGACTATGCGTGGCTGCCTCCTCGCTGCACTTTGTAATGTTGTCTGTCTGGCACCGGCTGAAGAGTGTGGAGGCCTGTAGTGTGATAAAGGCTGATTGAAAGCAGCTGCTAACCTCCGCTCCTTTAAAGTCAGAATCAAAACACTGCTAAGCAGCTCATATAGGTTGAAATCAGTGTTGGGCTTAAGGGAGTGCGACTGAAAAACACATTCCTGGTAACTGCACGAGGGCCAAGTACTTCCTCTGCCATGACATATGCGATAATGTATTTCTTCACCTGACGTGTCCTGTGGGAATTTTTTGGGTTTTCTGCACTTTGTCCCCTTCGGTGCCACTAAACTTCCAGTTTAACTCATCTGTACGGGTGCCGAGTTATGACCATCTCTCTCCCGTTGCTATGCTGTGTTTGTGTTTTCACCAGATCCTACAACAAACACTCACACAACTCAGCATTGACTCACAGTTTCAGTTTGAGGACCAAGCCCTCTTACCCTCAGAAGCACAATAGTGGCTTGTTTCACCTCACGATGGGAAGTTGCGGGAGATGCTGCCGTCACCTCAATAAAAGTCCGAGGAGGCAGCTCAGTTTCTCCGGGGCATTTTTGTCTGCTTGTAAAAATCATCAAATATTCAAGAAGAGTCCAGACGCTGTAATTTGCAGTTTCTGTGAGGGGCGTTGTTTTATTTTTACTCACCGGCCTTTCGACGGGGCAGCGGTTGTCGTTGGCTCCGCTCGCTGCACTCATTTAGATTTAGAGGCCATGACACAAAAGGGAAAAACAGGGTTTTTTCCGCAGCAAACGTCACCCGCAAACTGCTGTGCGAGGTCTGCGCTCAGACCTATCGGGATGCTCCGTACGGCGCGTAGTGTATGCGTACATGTGAGTATTTGCAGGTCATTGTTTTTAGCTGTAATTTACCATCATAAATTCCCCCGAGCCATGCCTCGTCTTTAATAAGCCCAAGGGCGGAAATTGTCTGCGGTCGCACTCTCACCAACCTCCCACCCTTGTAAATGTATAGAAATGTAAAGACTTTACCATGTGTGTGATTCCTCGTGCTGTTGGGCAGATGTAAGATGAAGGTTTTTTAAGACATGAGATGACAGGTTGACCCATATTGTAGTTAACCCAAGTCAGGTTGCAGATCTAATGTCAGGTAGAACCCACGAACGTGCATCCCTGAAAACAAACACCTCACCTCAGCCTTACCCAGTCGCGTGTGGAGTAACCTCTGCATATGGGTCCAATCAGACGAGGGGTTTCCCATAGAATATGGGAGAAGTGTGGGCTGCCGAGGGTGAGCCAACAGTCACTGTTTTCTATATTCTCGTTGCCCGCCACCATGTGCTTCAGATTAACACATGGCACACAGACCGGCTCTTTAGCCCTCCTCTATACCCAGATCACACCATCCAGAAAGCCGGTCCTCCTGGATCAGACGATCAGGATGGGTGCTTACTGGGCCTGCAGTCGCCCCCTTTACCCTCGGCTTCTCCCATCCCAGCTGAACTTCTCACCCTCATTTCTTCCCTCCGGGCAATTTACAGCGCTGCATGCGTCCTGACGTAACTGGAAAGATTAAGAAAGGCAACCCCTACGTCCTGCTGGTGTGAGACTTGGTCTTTGTGGGGCTATCTCGTTTAGTGCTATTCATTTTTTCCCACAAACCATTAGGGCTGTGATTAGCGCGCTGACTCTCTCCGTGGATGACAGATCTTAATGGCCGGTCAAGTAATGCTGTCGCTCAAACACAGTTAAGACGCAGAACAACAAAAGCCATTAAAATAGTTTTGGTTTCGATGCTCTCATTTCTCCCAAGGATGATACTTTGATTGCATCTCAGTGCAACATGTGGTTTGCAACTGATTTTGTTCCATGTTACACATGAATGAAGAAGCTGCCTTCAGACGCTGATTATTTCGTTTATTAGCAGAGAGCTTTCATCGCCTTCCTCCCAGACCTCCCAGCTGGCAGCTGCTGTCATTCCAACATTCCTTACTCCACTTAAGCTCTTCACACTTGAGGAAATGTTCCTGATGCTCTGATATACAATACTTTTCACCTTACTCTGAGAATATTTCGACTCAGCCTTGGGAATAGTCTTCTCGAAAATGTATTTTTTCAATTACATGCAATTACTGCAAGTGTCCAGAAAACATTACCACTTCTGCACCGGTTCTCAGGCCTCGGCAGCAAAATGCAAATGTGATGGGTTGGCGGTTTTCAGTATGTGTCCGTCCATTCTCCGTCCCGCAGCCATTTGAGCCCACAAGTCTATTCTAGCAATTTTGGTCCATTTTCAGCATTTCCTGTGAAACGTTTTCAAACGACAAAGACAATTTTTGTCTGTGCGGGTTTATTAGCTTGTGGGAGCCCCTGTCTCTGACCCCGGAGGTATGTCGGAGAAGCGGCCAAGTCGGGACAGGAACACTGACGGAGGACGAGTCCCCCGGCAAGCCTGAGAAAGCAGTTGTCTGCGTTGGAGGAGAAGACAGGGCCACGGCCAAGTGCGCTGTTCTGATCTAATGCGTTGCGGTTTTTCTCTGGCCCACTTTCTTCCTTTCTTCAGCTGATGCTGCCTTTATGAGCGTTCAGACGCGAAAAATGAAACTGGATTAGACAGCATGTGAAGGATGCTGCTTTTCACACCATAAATCAGTTTGTTGTAAACGTCTGAGGTGCCACCAGACTTGACATGTCGTCTCTGTTGAAGTCGGGAGCAGATGTACGCTGTTAAGTAGAGCTGATCAAAACCTATTTTAAATATTCATGTTGTTGTGATTTATCTGAATTAAGCCTCCCTGTTTTTACTAAAACGTCCAGAGGAGTTACTATTAGTCATGGAAAGTTAAATGGAATGCTCATGGAGGGTTATTATGAGGCTAAAGAGTCAACGAAAAATCTAATTATGCTTACAATAAAACAGACACAGTGGAGTGTCCTTTAATTTCATCAGTAAAGTTCATATCGGAGGAGAGGCCTGTCGGTCATAATGTTCCCGACTTAATGCCTTGCAGAAAGTCTACAAGCACGGACTTCCTGTAACTTGCTGGATTTGTTTTTTATTTTAATTTTAAATTGAAAAGGGCTGCATGTTTTGGGTTTTTTTGGCCTTAACTGTTTGCACAAGTTACCTGTAACTTAGAAATTTATATACAAATGTTGCTGGCAAACAGGATTGAAATCGATCAGTAGAAAACCTTTTTGTTTGGATGTTTATGCTCTTTAAAATAAAAGTATCTCCATCCATCATCTATACACCGCTTAATCCTCACTAGGGTCGCGGGGGGCTGGAGTCTATCACAGCTGACTCAGGGCGAAGGCAGGGGACACCTGGACAGGTCGCCAGTCTATCACAGGGCTGCAGACAACCAAGCACACTCACATTCACACCTACGGACAATTTAGAATCACCAATTAACCTCAACATGTTTTTGGACTGTGTGGAGAGAACCCACGCTCCACGCAGAAAGATTCCGGTGCCCCCCACCGGGATGCAAACCGGCGACCTTCTTGCTGCGAGGCAACAGTGCTACCAACTGCACCACCCTGCAGCCCCATAAAAGCATCTCGTTTACTAGAATTGAAAATGGGCAGTTGTGTCACCAGACTTGGTAACTTGTGAAGACACGAGCCGGTGGCCAAACTGACCGGAGGACGGATTCACGTGACTAAAAGTGTGATTGTTTTTTAAACAATTATAATCAACCTTCCTCTCCTTCAGTATCAGTCTTTGGCTTCTCTGCCGTGCTGGAGATGCCAAGAAATACTAAATCATGTATGTAAGAAATTGCTAACAAATGTTGCCTTTAAACTGTTCAGGAAGCAGCAGTGCTGTTACGAGGTCCAGCGTTAACAGCCTCCTTCACGCTGACATGCTGCGTACGGTTCCTCCCCGGGTCTCATCGAACTCGTTGTATGATTTACAACCATGCAAATAAGAAATTGCCGTGGAGCTGCCAGATTTTGATTCCTAAATTCCATTTCGGGCCTAAAACAATGTTCTAGCCTTTTAGAGCACCATTTGAAAGACGGCGGTCTGCTAAAAGATTCATCGATTAGGATGGAAGCGTTTCCTGCCAGACAGCTGTCGAAAGAAATCTCCTCATGCCAGACCTGAACTCTCTTATTTTTCTCCGGCTGCTTGTAAAGTGTCAGGGCGAATACTGAGCGTTGGCTGTGCGTTGTAAACTCCTCTGTCGCTTCTCACTTCACTGACACAACCAAAGAACGTTCGGCTCAAGCGTTGCCACGGAGAGAAAGCCTCCTTGAATTAATTGACGAACACCAAAGTTTGAAAACCCCCCTTAATGAATTGTCTGTTCTGTACACTGTTTCTGACATGTTATGATGGCGGTGATTTCTGTTGTTATTGTACGCTCAGAATGGTAGTGATGTTTATTTTGGAGAGGCGGCGGCGTGTTTACGGAGGCGCTTTGAAAGTCTAGTTGTGCGGATTGACGCTGTAAACATTAACGCTGCTCTCACCTCTCTGCCTGCAGATATCGACGAGTGCGTCAACGAAACAATCTGCGGGAACCACGGCTTCTGCGAGAACACGGACGGCTCCTTCCGCTGTCAGTGCGACCAAGGCTACACCAACCCGCCCGGAGATGCCAGCAAGTGTGTCGGTATGTGACTGCTGACCAGTAAATATCTGCTGTAGACTAAAAACAAATTCATCCTTTCAACAAGAACTGACAGTGTACCCAAAGCCTAATAAAGCTTATTAACGTGGGCACTGTAGTTATTTTGAGCCAATATTGCTGCCTTACAAGAAAACCAATTGTGTATTCATCCGCAGCTGAAAATAGTCCCTAACAAATGCCCTATTTACACCTTTGTGGTTAATTTTTGCTCAAAACCACACCTGTTTTGGGAAATTATTTGGCATATTTTGAGAATGAAAATCTGTATTTAGGACCTTTTTGTGAAGATTTGCAATGTTCAGGAGGAACCAGTGGAAATGAGAGCAACAAACAGGAAAATGTAAAAGTGCAAAGAGATGATTGAACTTGTTTCTTGTATTTGTTGTGTGTAATTGCCACAACTGTTTGGCCATCGTTTTTATTTAGTGTTCCAGAATTGGATCCATCCATCATGTAGAATAAGCTACTGGTGACACATATTTAGAGTATATGTTGCTGTGTAAAGAGATAAATGAAATACTTTGTCTTTCACTTGGATATGAAGTACTCCTCCAGTAACCACATGATAAAAACTGTTATTTTGCATGACCTTGCCGCGACCTTGAGTGCATGCCTGCGCGTACGTGTCTGATCCTCTGCTGACCTCACGCCGTCCTCTCCTGCCTTTCTCAGACGTGAACGAGTGCGAGATGAGCTTGGCGCTGTGCGGGGAGGCCCTGTGTGAGAACTTCGATGGCAGCTTCCTGTGCATCTGCACCAACGACAATGAGGAATTTGATCCCTTCACCAGCCAGTGCCGCTCCATTGGTAATAGAGCAGGACTAGCACTCACAGTGACTCACCGGGCTTAATTCTCCGTCCCATCGTTGGGAGACGGAGTTATCCCTGATTTAATGAGCCGTCTCTCATTATCCAAACAAGGGTGACGAGGTGGACATTTCTTTCTCCACGTCTCTTAGAGTATCTTTTGACCTGTCTGTTTCCATTTGTTTTATAGGCCGGGGTTATGGCTGGGTGGGTTGCCTGCAAAAAATTTGTATTAACCTAATCCCTGGGACGAACGATGAAGTAACTCCTCCAGCGGAGCCAAGCAAATGTCCTAAGGCCATAGTTACTGTAAACCCATTTCCCCACCAAGACAAACAAGGATAAGGTGTAGCTATTGGCAATTACGGCTAAAGACACATTGCTCCCTTCCGTGCTAAAATGATCTTAACTGCGGAGGTTACAGATATGCAATACGTCGCAATTTCAGAATAACAGAGCGAGCCGTTTGAGTCATGGAAATACCATCACATCTCCAGCTTGATAGGCGTATGTGTACACAAATTGGGTGTATTTACATTATTAGGCGGCGCGCCCTCAGCGGGGATGTTTTTTCTTCTGCCTGGGCACTAAACCCCAGTTATGCCTTTGTGTACCTTTTTGCCACATTCCGCTGTTTGCTTTTGACGTGTGTTAATCAATCATGTGAGACTGAATGGTGTGTTGACTCACATGCCAGTGTTTCCATTTGGCTAAGCCAGCAGCTTAAGGGTGAAATGCCTGAGCCCACGGCTTTGGACAAATGAGCAGGCTCAGCAGTGGCAGGCGAGGGGTAAATGCACTACCTGCTAGAGGTATGTGGACACACTGACGGATGGAGAGCTGAGTAAATGCCATTTGAAACCATTACCATGTTATGATATGCTACCGAAGTGTGGGATTTACTGTGACTTCCTGTGAGATCCCGTCTCAACAGCGAGATTTGGGTTCTAAAAGTGAGCGTTTGCCCTCCTGAAAAAGCAAAACAGGTGCATTTCTGAGTGTGACGTATGACTTAAGGAAATACTGTCTTTGTTGATCTGCAGCTGCGCTCGACACCAAACCCGCCCCTTCGTTCGCTCCTCCGGGTGAGCAGGAGAGGAAGGAGTGCTACTACAACCTGAATGACGCAAACTTCTGCGATAACGTCTTGTCCCGCAACATCACCAAGCAGGAATGCTGCTGCACGGTCGGGGCAGGTTGGGGGGACAACTGCGAGATCCACGCCTGTCCCGTCCCAGGAAGAGGTAGAAGCTCACTGACTGTATCAACACTTAAACACTATGCATGGTTTTATGAGTGTTTTAGCATCTTTTCTTTTACTAATTGACCAACTTTGATTTATTTTCCAGATGATTATAACCAGTTGTGTCCCCATGGCAACGGATTATTACCGCTGCCCGTGTCCTCAACACAAAGTCTCGGAGAGCCTTTCATAGGTACAAAACTCTCACTCATAAATACTTATTTTATTGATTTCCCAAAGTTTTTTTTTATAGCTTCTCTTGGCACAGAAAGGTGGAATGTCAGACCCTGTTTTATTCCTACCTGTGGCAACTTTTAAAGCCAGATAGACAGGCAATATCCCTCAGCAGGTTTACGAGGCCGTCTGCGCAGCTAGCCACGGGTTACTGGGACACCTGCCTGCACATCTGACTGATCACTGTAATTATAGTGTGTCCTGACAGCTTCGAGCACGGTGCCAATACTTTTAGAAACTGTGTTAGGGTTGGACAGTTATTACTTGATTTATGTGATATCAAGTCGTGACTCTGTCTGTCCTCCTCTTAGATGCAAATGAGTGCGAGATGTTTGGATCGGACCTCTGCAAGAACGGACAGTGTTCAAATCTGTTCTCCACCTATACCTGCTACTGTCGCTCCGGCTTCTACTACGACAACATCCGGCTCGAATGCGTGGGTAAGAAATGACGTTTATTTTTTTTATAGCATTTGAACACATCGTTGACATAATCAAGGATGAGCTGATCGATCTCTCTGTGCATCTCCTGTTCGTTTTTTTTTTTTTTTTAGATTATGATGAGTGTGAGTTTGAACACGCCTGTGAGAACGGAGCATGTGTGAACACTGCCGGGTCTTTCAACTGTTTCTGCAGCCCTCCGTTGGTCCTGGACAGCACACGGCGACGCTGCATCGGCCTCAACACCACAGAAGGTGTGACGCGCACAAACACGCACATTTGTGATGTATGTTGTTGTTTGGAGATGTTAAAGGTACAGTCAGTGATTCTCATCCAGCATATTCATCAAATTCAGTGAACATCAGGCCGTTGCTTTAGCTCACCTGGTTGAGCTGGCGACCCATGTTCAGGAGCTGTAGTCTCCGATGCAGTGGCCATGGGTTTGAATCCCGCTCATGGCCCTTTGCTGCAACCCTTCCCCCATTCTTCTCCCCTACTTTCCTGTCTCTACTTTGGCTGTCCTATGTACTAAAGGCAAAAAGGCCAAAAAAAATTACTTTAAATTCAGCGAATATCTCCTTGTGGTCTGCGAGCTGTCGGTTGTGTGTCGGCGCCGAAAAAAATCTGACGTTTTGTTCGCAGCCTTGTGTCTGCAAATGAGAAACAAAGCCAGTCCTGTGCACGTTTGTGTTTGTGCATTGTGGAAGGCATGTGGAGGGAAGCTGGGAATCAGGGAGCAGAGGGAGCAAGAGTTACAGTAAATCTGACATGCCAACTATCTAAACATCGTAACCAGCAAAATAACATCAACAGTCTTTCCAAAGAATTGCAGACACTACTTTCAACAAGAAAGAAAACTCTGAACTTGTTCATGATCTTCTGTCTCCTTCCTGGAAGCCTGAGGGTTCTGCACAGTATCTGAGTATGTTCTTAAGGCTGGACCCTTCTGGACAGAGATCTCAGATGTTGTTCCTGGGATCTGCTGATGCCACGCTCCCAGTTTGGGGGTCACAGCCACCCGGCTGGATAGCTCAGTAACACTATTGGTAGAGGAGATCGGGGGTTTGAATCCCAGTAAAGGGTCCGTAATGTTATCGAGCTTACCTCAAATATGAGTGAAACAGTAAATATAAGAGCCATACTGAGTGAAGTGGGCGACTGGAACAAGACATTTAGTCGAGGGCACAGAATGTGGAACTGTTGGAACGCTGCTATATGAGCAATCCAGTGATAGGGTGTGTATGTATACATCCATCCATCCATCCATCCATCCATCCATTATCTATACACCGCTTAATCCTCACTAGGGTCTCATTTAATCATCTGGGAGTTTTTCATGATACTTTCAATCATTTATCTGGAGAATCTGAATCTTTCTGGGTTTTAAATGTTAGTTGGACAGAAGAAGACGTTTGAAGAGGAAACCTGGAAGAAGTCTGCAAACCTCGACGGTGAAATAAATAAATGATGCTCAGGCTTTGGTTGAAGCTTCAGCAAACAGTTAAATTCACAGTTACACGAGAGGATCAGCTGCTGAGCTTCATGGTTTTGATGCAACATTTACATGCAGACTTAGCTGATCCATTAATACCAGAATCTGTTAAAATGCAGCTATAAAATGTTTTTATTTTAGGAGTGAATATCCAAAAGGCAGCTGCATCTCTTTAGCTACAGATTAATGATTTTGATCTCAAACTATTTTGCTGCTTTTGTTTTATCTCTTTGTCAAACAAAACCCCTAAAACCACGACTTTTCTATGAATTTATTGTGCACTTCATGATGCTGGATGGTCATGGTGCCCAATGCTTAATGTGAATATATTTGTGAAGCCTGTGTTTGTAGATGTACGATTTGTGAAACACTTCTCATTCTGTTTCCCAGAACCTCTAGAATCTGATCACGACGTGCACATGGGCATCTGCTGGCAGCGACTCGAGGGCGACAACATGTGTGCAGAACCCCTCCAGGGACGCAGAACCACATACACTGAATGCTGCTGTCTGTACGGGGTGGCCTGGAGTGGCCAGTGTGCCTTCTGTCCCAGGAGGTTCTCTGGTGAGAACACATAAGATAGTGATTTCTCTAGTTCACTGTAAATGTTATAAATGTAAGAGAATAATGATGCAGTTTATAAAATCCTTTGTAAATCCATCGTGTGCTGCAGATGACTACACAGTGATGTGCAACCTGCCTCGGAGGGAGGGTTCAGATAGCCTGCGAGAGCGGATAGGATACGAGTACGGCGTTGAGGAGTCCGAGGATCCTGCGGAGCCTTTTGTTCCTCCGTACTGGGATAGTTACGGCGGCGCTGCAGGACCCTATGACAGCGTTCCCCTGTTTAACGACAACGACTACAGCGTCCAGCAGCCGCCAGTCCGAGTCCCCATCCAACGACCACGAGAGAACCAGCCGCACTCAGTGGACGCCTACTCTGGTGGGTTAATTTAGCATTTAACTAGCTTATCTTGCATGTAAAGTATATATGCTGCAGAACAATTCACAGTGGTGGAAGAAGTATTGAGTAAAAGTACAAATACAGCAAAGTGCAAAGTCTTAGCAGCAAAGTTCAAATGTTAAAGTAAAAGTACTGGTTCGGTTCCTCTGACTGATATATCATTCATTATCTGGCCTCATTAGATTCATCAGTGTGTCAGCAGCGTGTTCCTGCTGTAGCTGCTGCAGGTGGAGCTGGTTTCAACTACTTTATATCCAGTTTTATTCGCAGGGACAGCAGATAAATCTAAAAGCTCGTCAGATGATTAATGAGATAGGAAAGAAGAAAAAACAAGGTTCCGATCCATAAATCTGTTTTCGGTTTTTCTGTAATCTTTGATTTTTTGTCAGTTATTGGATCATTTGACCATTTATTGAAATGAAACCATGTGAGAAACTTAGAGGGGGGAAAATCCCTTCTTTTTGGTGGAGCTGTGAACAAGTCTGAGACATCTGAAATGTGACTCAATTACACGCTTCTTTCTGTGAGATGCCAGAAGCAAAAAAAAAAAAACAGAAACTTTGGAAAGTACAGGTTTAATTTTTAACAATGTGTAATATTTCAAACGCTTGTTATGTTATCTGTTGGGTAAAATGTCCACCTTCAAATAAACTAAAGCTGTCAGATAGATGTACTTGGGTAGAAAGTACAATAATTACCTCTGGAATGTGGTGGAATGAAAGTATAAAGTATCAGAAAATGAAGATATTACCTCAATAGTGCCTCAAAAGTACTTCAGGGAATGTGTTTAGCTGCCTTCTACCACTGCTGTTGTTAGCTGTAATGATGTCCACTGTGCTGTTTGATGTGTATAAAACTGTATATTACAGATGCTGTGTTTAAAAAAGAAAGGTGGATTAACTCCATTCAAAAACAGACAAGTAAAGAAAAGAAAGATCCGTTATCTTGTAGCTGAAATAGTTACTGCATGTGCTCTTCGGAAAAACCTCTGAGCACCAGGTTTGAAGAAAGTTCTTCTTGAAGTGCCTTACAAGTTCTAATAGGTCAATTAATGCCTGATGAGGTTCTGATACTTTACAGATGCATTGACATTTAAAGAGAGACGCTTTGTGTGTTTACTTATGGCTTATATTCACTTCTTTTCTTAAAAAAAATCAATCATATATGTGTCTGTGAAGCTTCTCAGTCATCCAGGTTGTTCTCGTAGATTCATCGTAGCAACTGGACTTGCTTGAGTTCCTTGAGGACGTTTCACTTCTCATCCAAGAGGCTTCATCAGTTCTGACTGACTAGTTGGGAGCTCCAAATACTAGTCAGTCAGAACTGATGAAGCCTCTTGGATGAAGGTGAAACGTCTTCAAGGAACTCAAGTAAGTCCAGTTGCTCCAATTAATCTACGAGAATCAAATATGTCCTTTTCCCCGAGAGGGTTTAAGGCAGCATAGAGCCATTCTACTATAAGAATTCCCACCAGTTTGAGGATATATAATGATTTCTGAGTAGTAATGTGGCAAATAAGAGAATGAAGTGTTGTTTAGAAAGTACCTCAAGGTGTCTTTACGTGTGTTTTCTGTGCCATCAGAGCGCTACGAAGGGTTCGAGGGTCTCCGAGCAGAAGAATGCGGAGTCCTGAACGGGTGTGAAAACGGCCGCTGCGTCCGCGTGCGAGAAGGCTACACCTGCGACTGCTTCGACGGCTACGAACTTGACCTCGACAAGATGGCCTGCATAGGTGGGTTCTTTCCTCCCCGCCGCTGTGATATCATTCTCAGCAGACCACCCACATTCAGACTCTTGTGTTTCCAAAAAAAAAAACTGTTTAGGGACTTTCTCAAATCAACAGGAGAAGCCGTCGCTTCGTTTTTATCTCGTTTCACAACGTGGCGTTGAGTCTTGAAAACAAACCGCAGTGAACCCTCCCTTCAGGTTTAAGCCTTCTGGAGCCAGGTCTTGGATTAATTTCAGCAGGGTAACTCTTCATGCTGTATATCATCAAGCTCAAGGAGAAGCTTTGAGTTTAACAACCTTGCATTAAGTTATGTTTTATGGGAAAGTAATGAAAGCAGTGTACTCCTCAGAACCATTGTGTGTTACCCTTTGGTCTGAAATTCCCTGGTCGCACGCTGCCAAGAGTGAGGCGGCCTTGAATCTTAGCCACTCGTGTATTACATGAGATATTATATCTTTTACATGTACTCTGTTTGTTTTGTAAGAAAGTGAGACTGTCTTGTTGCAACGAAACGCTATGATTACAATATTCTGTCTGCAAGCGGGCTTATCAGTTTCAAGGTCAGCCGTTTTCCCAAGAAACGTGATTGAATTCCTGCACTGTGGAAACATGTGGGAGCTGCGCAACTCGTGCCATGCCTCCTATTATAAATATCACCACTTGCATTTCCCCGGCAGAACATGACATAAACACAGAGAGGGGGTCATTGGAGATTGAACGCTATGAAATGACAATCAGACCTCCCGCGCTGCAAGAAGGGAAAGAACAACCTACCGAAGGCCAAAAGGAAACACAATCCATTGCACTGTTAATTTTACCATCATTCCGAACGGTCCAGCGCCGGGGATGGCTGGGAATTGAGATCCTGACCAGCCGACACGCAACATGACGGCATGTTTGAATTAAGATATACAAGATGAGATGTTACGCAACGTATCGTTTCGCTGAGTGACAGCCTTGTTCCTCCGAACGTGAACTTTTGTGGAACCAATTAAAACACCCTTTGTTTGATCCTCGTAAGACTGCGCGGAGTTCTCGTCGGTCTCGCCATCGCTGAGGAAGCTGCTGTGTGTGCTGTGATCAGAGGAAAATCCATGACCCAGCTGTGTTAGAATCCCTCAGAAAAGGAATGAATGAGTCCCTGTTCCCACATCCTGTCTGCCACCGTACTCGGTATGGTCAGATGTCTTGTTTTGTCTGACCAGCGCTCCAAAACCTCCCAGGACTTAATCCACTTTTACAATTAGCCACAAATGGTAAATGCACTTACATAGTGCTTTTTTCTACCTTAGTGCTACTCAAAGCGCTTTACAATGTGTTTCTCATTCACCTATTCACTCACCAATGGCGGCAGAGCTGCCATGCAAGGTGCTGCCTACCATTGGGAGCAACTTCGGGTTCAGTTACTTGCCCAAGGACACTTCGGCCGTGGATCGAAAACCTTGCGATTAGAGGACAACCTGCTCTTCCACCTGAGCCGCAGCCGGCCTGACAACATCAAAACCACTAAAAAGTAAAGTGAATAACACCGATTTTCCTGTTAAAACGGCACCTCTCAATTATATATTAGCAAGTTACCAGTCAGTTGGCAGCGTGAGGATCTGAGGGGTTCGGACGAGGGCCAAACTGCGATGACTGGACGACTGTCTCAGAGCAAATGAGCAGGTCTTGTGGGCTGTTTCAAGTGGTAAGTACCAACCAGAAGTGGTTCAAGGAAGGACGACCAGTGAACAGTTGACAGGGCTCGCTAATGCAAATGAAGAATGAATCTGTTCGGTCCAGTCCCACAGAAGAGCTGCTGTAGCACAAACTGCTGGAAACCTCAATGCTGGCGATGATGGAAAGGTGTCAGATAGTGTTCGTGCTGATCCTGTCTAGCGCTCAAAGTGTCTACAATGGAGCATGGAGCAATCATCTTTGGACAGCTGAGCTGTATGTGCATCCGGGGGAACAGATGACAGCAGGATGACAAAAAGACAAGCTGGCAGAGGCAGTGTGACGCTCTGAGCAATGTTCATGTGGGGCGTTACTTTGAGACACATGACCATCCTAGACATCGTTGCAGACCACGTAAACCCCGTCACGGCAGTCGTGTTCTCTGATGGTGTTGACCTCTTCCATCAGAATAACTCCACTCTGCAAAAAAAAAGCTTCAGGAATGGTTTGAGGAGAACAGGTAAAGGCATCGACCCCAGATCTCAGTTTGATCAAGCAGCTGTGGGATGTGCTGGAAAAACAGCTGCAATCCATGAAGGCCCCACCGTGTAACTTAAAGAACTCTGCTTCCACCATCTTGGTGCCTTGATACCACAGAACACTGTTATGGAGCTCATGCCTTCACAGGTCAGAGCTGTTTTACGAGTGAGGTGTCCATAATACTCGGCAGCTACTTCTAATGTAGTGGTTTTTTGGTGTAAATTCGGAGAAAGACAAGCAGAAAAATCCTCACACCTGAGAAACACGAACCAGAGTATGTTCTGTGTTTTTGAAGGTCATGGGATATGAGTTTAAAAAAAGTTCCAGAATTTCTGTTAAATGCAACTAAATAAACCTTAATGTGGTTTTGCTTGTTTCCAAAGTCAAGAATGAATCTTGAAACTCAATTTGAGTGTGATTTAGGGTGGTGAAAGTGCAATAAAAGGAAGGAAGGCAAGAAGAAATAACAGAAGGATATGAGAAATAAACTCCAAGGAATCGCAAATATAAATTATATTAGCATTCCCACATCTCGTACCCAAAAGGCCGCTCGGCAGCAGATGTGGCGCCGGCAGCTGTTTCGGCTGTGGAATCTCCCCGCTGACTAACTCGTCATGTCTCTCTTTTTTTTTTTTCCTGCAGACATAAACGAATGCAAGGACATCAGCGACAAGGTGCCCTTGTGTCAGAACGGGCAGTGCACCAACACGGACGGATCCTACAAGTGCACCTGTTTGCCGGGCTTTGTGGCCACTGCCAAGCCGCACAAATGCATCCCAGCAATCCCGGAGGCTGGTCTTAGGGAGGCAGAAAACTGAGACAGAGACCGTCGGAGCGCTGGCTTCTCCTGCTCCCTCAAAGATCGCCTTACACCCCCTCTGCCCTTTCCCCCCGAGGGCCCGGCACTAAACCTCCAACAGTAAACGCTGAAACGTCCAAACTCGTTTCCCTGCATCACCACACGCACCGGCACTAACATGTACATACAAAAGCACACACACACACATTTGCATTCAGCACAGAAAACACATCCATATCCCCCCTCATACACACTCAAGAGGACCAGGAACTGTGCAGTGAATGTATTACATGGGATTTAGTATTCACCAGATATCCATTTGCCTTAAAGGGATTTTGTGGACTGATCTTTTTTATTCAGTAACCCCAGGCAATTTGATATACAGATATACTTTCCACATTATTTTCTCTGTCACTTTCCTTTTTTTTTTCTTTTTTTTCTTTTTGTTGTTATTTATTTCATTTAAATGACGGGCCTCTGCAAACTAAGAAAGCAACCTATTTTCAGAGGGCACACTTGATTCCTCTCGTTTTATTTGTCTCGCCGATTGACTTCAGAGAGAGCGTGGAGAGATAATTAATGTATTTTGTAAAAGAAGGAATGTCGTAAGAATTCAGCCATACTATATCAGCGTGTGCGTCACTGTCAAACCTCTCACCAGCATATATCTCACTCGGTCGCTGCGTAATTAGGCCTTGGACTAAACGGACGCCAGGGTCTCGACCAACATCCGAAATCATTCGCGGAGCAAACTTTTTCCCACAGCTGCCTTTCTTCGAGATTAACTGCAAGCTGAAGAATCTCTGGACCAAGAACAGCACAGTCAAACTCTCACATTAAAAAACCTTTATGGAAAGACTCTTAGATGTATATGATGATCTATGTAATGTTTTCAAAAGCGGTGCAATAGGTGTGACCTGCCTTCTTCTGTTTGACACCAGTTTCATATAATTCCAGCAATGAAGTAGGAAAACTCTGACCCTGACTTTTTTTTTTCTTTCTAACAGTATTAACTTGTTTTATACTTCTGAAAAAAAAAGAAAGAAAAACAACAACAAAAAAAACAACCATATGCACCTGATTCTAGGCTACATCCTAGCCTGGCACAGAAAGGTAAGTTAACTGAAAGTATCGACAGAAATCACTGCTTGAGATGAGAGGTTGGTTTTATGCACCACACAGGCAAATAGGAGTTTCCATTCACCTGCAACACGGATCTCAGCTCTCACACAAGACCATTCCCATGTGTGCATCTCTGAATGCACGTAAAGACAAAGGCTTCGTTGGAGAGGTTTGGTATATTTTGTACAGATCTAGTACTATGTATTATTTTTGTTACATATTCTCTTAATGCATTATAGCACAACCAATATTTTTGTTTGACATAAAACATAAAATGTAAGAAAAATCTGGCATTATAGCTTTGTAGATTTATATATGTCTGTACAAATGTTTTTTTTTTTTTTTTTAAAGCATATCTTTTTATGTATGAGGAGAGTGGCTGACACTGTACCAGAGGAACTGTGTGTGTATTCCCTGCCCTGTGGAGCAGACAATGAATTATATTTTTTGGAAGTGGCAGCACTGTTCTGATCGCAGACATTTTGTCTCCTTAAGTTCATTACAAAGACAATGCTTTTGAAATGCAAGCACCGACTTCTGTGCGTCACAACTTTACGGCTAAATATTAGTAATTGTGAGCATTATTTCTTTTTTTTTTTTTTAGTCTCTGTTGGATCCTTATTGTCATGAATGTATCGTAAACAGTATCCGCCTTCGCCTCTGGTTACCCAAATTTTCACTCACACCATGTAGTCTTTTTGTATTCAGGAATAAATATCAGCAAACATATTCATAACTCTAACTTTGGATGACAACTAAAGTTACACAGTTAACCTGCATTCATAATCTCTGAACCTACAGTCGTACAAATGTGTTCACTCGATGCCCACTGTACTTTACTGTGCTGTCCGGAAACGTTTAGGTCAAAGTTGGAATGTCTAAAACCTTTCAAAACTACAATTAACTTGAGATAAATGCCTTGTTGTAAAGCTGTGGTCAATGGAAATATCATGCTCATTCATTTTGTTTACCTCTTGACTGTAATCACTATCAGTCATCAAAATAAAACATGAAAATTATCTGTCTCCTCCATCATTTATTCTGAAATATGGCACACACAGCATTCACCGTGTGTGTATTCGCAGAGCAATTTGAGAGTTTATTTGCGATACAGCAGGAAGAGAAAGTTTGTTGTTGCATGTGGTGCTCGGCCACTAATGATCAGAAAGTCATTAGATGTTATTCTTACACCAAACAGCGGAGCTACTCAACAGCTTGGTGCAGGTATTTACACACATCATTGGCACGTCGTTGTGTAACTGTGATGTGTTTGGAAGGATTTTTAAGATCCTTGACTAAAGTAAAAGTAGTAATACTGCAACATAAATATCCTGTTCCTTACTTAGAAAACAGAAAATAAGCAAAAGTGCAGAATAGTTGCGAACGAATGAAGAGTTCATTTGCAAAAACAGATAACTCCATCTTCACAAACCTTCAGAAACTTCTCCATCGTCTACCTGAAACAGTATCAATCAACTTTAGTTATCTCTGCTTTTGTCATTTCTACTGAGTCAAATCCACTCAACTTCAGTTTGATTGATATTATCTCAAGCAAACAACAACAAAAAAAAGATTTCTGAAGATCTACAAAAATGGAGTTATCTGTTTTTGCAAATGAACTCTTCAAATGTGCTATGAACTGAAAACATTTCAAAATAAAAGTATTCATCTGGAATGACCCGTGAGTGTGTTGTATCAGTAAATCCTGATGTTGTTGGATTATTCTTAGAACAACATGTATGCAGCATTTTAAAGCAGCAGGACGTTAAAACAAAGATGAACTAATCTATTTTATACACATTAGGCGGGACAGTACAACAGCTCATGTAAACCAGTTGTTTTAAATGTAAAAAACATAGATATACACAATATATTTAGTGCAATATTTTTCCCTGAAGATGTTTTTAAGTAGAAAGATTACATAACAGACAAAACAAATGCTTCAAATTTAAACCTGCAGTGTTTGAACAAATGCACTTCTATGTACATTTGGAGTTATTTAAGGATGGATGTGAACGATATACTTTAGCAACACACAATATATTGTCTAGAATATTTGGATCTTGGATCTGTAAACGCACGTTGTATTAACAAAATCTCACATTGCAGTTTTTAACGCATTTAAATGATTCATGATACTACAGGTCCCTCTAGTGGCCAAATCATTGCACTGCGCAATCACAGCATCTGATTTTCCTGCTTTTCCAGAACTTTTTTCCCCATTTGTTGAACCATAGATGTGTTCCTTTATCATGTGCAATTTAATACACTGACAGTGTATTTTAAACATACGTGTATGAAGGAGAACTGGACAACACATCAACTGCTGGGATAATCAAAGTATTCCAAAGGGAAAATATTCCCAATATGTCCTTTCGGAGCTTCCGTAGCTGACTAGGAGACGCGACAGGGATTTTGGGAAATTGTGTTCATCCCGCGAACACCTCGTCCACATCGCATGGATGTATGAGATGGGAATACATCTCCCAGACGCCTGAGCGGCTCGTATGTGTTTGTATGAGCTGCTGTGAAGTGCTGCTCATGTAAATGTTTAATTAATCGGTCATTTGAGGAGACGGGCAGCGTTAGCATCTCGTTAGCTAATGATATTGTTTTGAATGCCGCCATTGGACGACTGGACACTCGGCTAGGAAGCAGGGAGCAGAAATGCGTACGTTGTTGGTGAACATTTCTGAGTAGCTTGGCGAAAATGTGACTTCATATGATGCGTGGTGCGTTTTTAAGAAGGAAAGGTTTGACATTCACTGTCAGTGTCGCCTCTTCTGATGCACAGTGTTAGGAGTTGGTACATTTTCTAGCATCTATGCTAAAGGCTGCCCCCCATCATCTACACACAGGCTAACCAAGTTACCCACCTGCCCTGGAAGGGAGTCTGGTTCTCTTATTATTATAGGTTTAATTTCCTCATGGCAAAAGAAGAATGTGTGTCACAGAGGAACAAAACAGGGGACTCCTCATTACTGCGAAACAGGAAACATATTCCCACCTCAGAGAAGACCTTCCAGACCCCATTCCCTTCTGCACCAAAGGGCAAAAGCAGCCAACCTGCTGGACACTCGTCAGAAGATGACAGCCAGTCCTCCAATGGCTCCTCAGCTCAGTTATCTACCAGGAGGCACGATGAGTCTCCGGTCAGAGTGCTGCTGGTGCTGGTGGTGGGACTGTCCTTCTCTACACGCCTCTACAAGATAACAGAGCCTCCTCATGTGTGGTGAGTTCAAGTCCCCGTGCATGCGTGTAGATTGTGTGATCATTGTCACTGATGACCCTGTTTTGGTGTTTCAGCTGGGATGAGACACACTTTGGGAAGATGGGCAGCTACTACATCAACAGGACCTTCTTTTTTGATGTCCATCCTCCTCTCGGAAAAGTGAGAGCGCCACTTTTTGTGTAGACTCGAGTGTATTAAGTGAAGCGTCTCCGGTACAATGTGTGTCTCTGTCGCTCTGTTGTAGATGCTGATCGGTCTGGCCGGTTACATGACTGGCTACGATGGCACCTTTCCTTTCTTAAAGCCTGGAGACAAATATGAACAGCACAACTACTGGGGGATGAGAGGGGT